GAAATTTCCACTTATACGGTATTACCTGTGATAAGACCTTTCCAAATAAATCATGACTTTTAACTCTGTGACCTTGACCTTGAAGCCTAACCTACTTTTCAAATATGTTGCATTTGCTTACAACTTTTGATTGAGAAGAGATATGACTCTCACATTCGACATGTACATTAATTACTCATAAGAATTCAAGATGATTCCCAGCATGCGATGCTTTTTTACCCCTTGACGTTGATGCTTTACCTAATTTTCAAAATATTTAACTCTCCTAAAAGATGATTAGGCTTCTGAGTAATATTAAGGAGGACTTCAGGGAATAAAGGGCCATTTGCATAAAAAACGTAATTTTTCCACCCCATTTCACCCCCCGGGCAAAATCAAAATTCCGAAAACTTACTGCACATCTACATATCACCACCAACCATCTCCCAAAAGAAGATTAGGCTTAACTGTGTAAAATGTAGGAGGAGTTCAGGGGAAACGGGGCTTTTTGCATAAAAAAAACATCATTTTTCTACCCCCATTTGACCCCCCGGGGCAAAATCAAAATTCCGAAAACTTACTGCACATCTACATGACACCACCAACCATCTCCCAAAAGAAGATTAGACTACTGTGTAAAATGTAGGAGGAGTTCAGGGAAGACGGGTCTTTTTGCATAATAAACGTCATTTTTTGACCCCCATTTGACCCCCCGGGGAAAAATCAAAATTCCAAAACCTTACTGCACATCTACATGACACCACCAACCAACTCCCAAAAGATGATTAGGCTACTGTGTAAAATGTAGGAGGAGTTCAAGGAAGACAGGGCTTTTTGCATAAACAAGAGGCCCACGGGCCTTATAGGTCACCTGAGTATCATGTAACAACTTTCCAGCGATTGTATTTGGTTCGTGTTTTAATCCAAAAGCCATGAAATTCACAAATTTTGAAGGAGGCACCATTGCTTATCAAAGGGCAGATTTCAAAGCATTAATTTATTTTTAGTCAAAGTACCCCCCTGGTACCCCTGACCCAGCGGCCCTGAAATTATCTATTTTGAAAGAGGCCCCTTTCTTCGTTATAAGGCCAGCATTTTTTTTTTAGGTTTAGTTATGAACATGAGAATAAAAAAAGTCCCAAAGGAGAAGGAAATAAAAAAAAAAAAAATTGATAAATCAATTAACATTTGTACATTCTTTTTTTCTGCTATTCTAATAGGCTCCTTACCACTGGACACATAATGCTTACAAATAGGAAAGTAGAACATTTAATTGCTTATTTCATCATCTGCCAGTTTGGGCCAGTTATATAAATTTTGTGATGTTGGTCAAAATATATTTTAAAAAATCAATTCTTTAAAAGTCTTTCAATATATCTTCATTTTTTTAATATGTGTTAGGTGAATGTGTAGACATTGTTCTAAAAATTTACTTAATGCCTAAAATTATAATTCCTATCATAAAACAGACAGGGAGTATTGGGGAGTAGGGTGAACATTTTTTTCAATTAAATGTAAAATAATTTTTCTGCCTGATACAATTGATACAACATGCCTGTATATATTTGTATATTCTTGCCTTTTAATAGTTGAATTTTTTTTTATCTCTTGAGGTTATTGTTTATTTCTTCCTCAAATGGACTTAACTTCTCCCATAGTTTTATTCATTACATCTGATGCATAAGCAACCCTTTTCTGAAGAATGATGCTTAGACTGTAAGCTATAACAGAGACCTAAACAATGTCGCTGGCAATATGTACAGTAATACCTACCACGGGCAGTTTAAAACCTGGGGGAGGAAAATAATTTACAGACAGATACTTTTGAAACGAATACATAATTATCTCACCAGCATGTCATTGTGCAACAAAGTCGTCAGCATTTTATTTGTCCTTTGAACGGGTGAAACGTTTTGAATGGCACTCGTATCGATGAATTTTACACTAAACCAAGCTAGCTTTATTTACCCGCCGTTTCATCTTAAAACCGGAAGTGCGAGTTCGTAAATTTGAAATCTCGATCCCGACTCAAATTTGACATCGGAAAGTTGTTTTATTTTTTTCTGAAAATTCAAAACCTTGAGCGGAGGGTTTGTAAAACTGGAAATAAAATAAATCCTGGCCTTAAATATGTAATTAGATCATTAGTATATTAACCAGGAGCAAAGGAAATATTTTCAAAGAAATAATGCATTTTCACTATATAATCTATAGAGCCCCGCCCTAACACCAGAACCCCTGACCCTGGGGCCATAAAATTCACAAATCTGGAAGAGGCACTCTTGCTCATCATAACTATGTGCTTAGTTAGTTTATTTAATACCCAGGAGCAGAGAAGAAGATTTTCAAAGAAATAATGCATTTTCACTATATAATCTATAGAGCCCCGCCCTAACACCAGAACCCCTGACCTGGGGCCATGAAATTCACAAATCTGGAAGAGGCACTCTTGCTCATCATAACTATGTGCTTAGTTAGTTTATTTAATACACAGGAGCAGAGAAGAAGATTTTCAAAGAAATAATGCATTTTCACTATATAATCAATAGAGCCCCGCCCTAACACCAGAACCCCTGGCCCTGGGGCCATAACATTCACAAATCTGGAAGAGGCACTCTTGCTCATCATAACTATGTGCTTAGTTAGTTTATTTAATACACAGGAGCAGAGAAGAAGATTTTCAAAGAAAAATGTATTTTCACTATATACTCTATAGAGCCCCGCCCTAGCACTAGAACCCCTGACCCTGGGGCCATGAATTTCACAATTTTGGTAGAGGACTCAATGCTCATTACATTCATGCCAACAGTTTGCCTGCTTGATGTCCAGGAGTTAAGAAGAAGATTTTTAAAGATTCCACTAATTTTAGTGGTTTTGGCCCCACCCCTCAGGCCCCAGGGGGGCGGGGACCATGAAATTCACAATTTTTGTTCCTCTCTACCCATAGATGCTGTATACCAAATTTGGTTGAAATTGGTTCAGTGGTTGCAGAGAAGAAGCTGAAATTGTTCAAATGTTAACACACGACACACGACACACGACGCACGACGCACGACGACGGACGAAAACGGATAGCAATAGGTCACCTGAGTTACTCAGGTGACCTAAAAACGTAATTTTTCCACCCCCATTTGACCCCCCGGGACAAAATCAAAATTCCGAAACCTTACTGCACATCTACAGGACACCACCAAATATCTCCCAAAAGAAAATTATGCTACAGTGTAAAATGTAGGAGGAGTTCAGGGAAGACGGGGCTTTTTGCATTAAAAAAGTCATTTTTCCACCCCCATTTGACCCACCCGGGGCAAAATCAAAATTCCGAAACCTTACTGCACATCTACATGACACCATCAACCATCTCCCAAAAGAAGATTAGACTACTGTTTAAAATGTAGGAGTTCAGGAAAGACGGGGCTTTTTGCATAAAAAATGTCCTTTTTCGACCCCCATTTGACCTCCCGGGGCAAAATCAAAATTCCGAAACCTTACTGCACATCTACATGACACCACCAATCATCTCCCAAAAGAAGATTAGACTATTGTGTAAAATGTAGGAGGAGTTCAGGGAAGACGGGGCTTTTTGCATAAAAAACATCATTTTCCGACCCCCATTTGACCCCCCGGGGCAAAATCAAAATTCCAAAACCTTACTGCACATCTACATGACACCACCAATCATCTCCCTAAAGATGATTAGGCTGCTGTGTAAAATGTAGGAGGAGTTCAGGGAAGACGGGGCTTTTTGCATAAAAAACGTCATTTTTCGACCCACATTTGACCCCCCGGGGAAAAATCAAAATTCCAAAACCTTACTGCACATCTCCATGACACCACCAACCATCTCCCTAAAGATGATTAGGCTACTATGTAAAATGTAGGAGGAGTTCAGGGAAGAAAAGTGTGACAGACGGACGGACGGACGGACGGACAGACGGACATGAGTAACAACAATATACCCGAACTTTCTTTAGAAAGTGCGGGTATAAATAGTTTCTCTTATATTCACAATTCAAAAGCATTTTATAAGTAGCAAGTATTGGGAATTTTTAGCATCACAGTTATGCAATTGACTCAGTTTTTACATGATAATCAATTTTTTTCATGATGCTGTTTACAAAAAAATGTACGATTTTTTTTTTATGTTGACATAATTATGCTTCTGTCTGTTTATGCCTCCCATCTTAAATAATATGAAGGACTATACATTGTTGAAAACAATTTGTAAATTTAAACTTAATTAAATGAAAATAAATTCATTTTTTGTACTTTTAATCATTAAAATTGTATGGACAGACAGACCTTAACAAAGAGAAAACAAAGAAATGGAAATATTATTAGAATGATGCATAATTTTGATATGTATATTTAATATTTTACATTGTATTTTGTAGATTGTAATGTGGAAATTACTTCTTGGGGTCTGCTTCCAGTGCATCTCTGATAAATTCGCGTGTTTATTGTACATATCGCAAATATACTGGTTGATAAGCGCTGATCACATTCTATATCTGTTTTCTGTTGTTTATTCACTAAGATACTTAGAATAGAAATAGTTTATGTTCGGATGAGTGAAACGAAGGAGAACATAATTGAAGTTTATTGCTAAACTCAGTGTCGATAGTTATAAAACATATTGGGAGTGACCGGTCGGCAGGGGACGTTTACTCCTCCATAGCATCTTATCCCACCTCTGATGTTTTAGAGGTCCTATTTGTTCTGCTTCCGTTTAGTATTATTTCAATTGACTTTCGAACTACATTACTATTTTTGGCATATTTGATTCATGCTTCCATATACCAATTTACTGGTTCAAATATTTCTACTTGTAGTTCTTAATATATAATTCAATACTGATTGGTTTTAACAGCGCAAATTATACAACGTCCTTCGAAATCAGAAAGACTTCTTTTGAATTATGATTGATAAATAAAATTATAAATATCACTGTACTTTACTGAAATAAAAAAAAAAGGTTTCTGTAGAAAATGAAAAAAGAATTGCATTCTTTTTCCTTCAGGACTAAAACAATCTGTTTTCGTTATTATTACCAACTGGATATTTTAGGTACCGGTATGTATTTGAACATTAACTATAATAAAACGGTAAAAATGGCATTTGTTTAGATATTGGACACGATTTTCCTTTTTTCGGACATCCTAACACATTCAGACATATAGGATAATCTGCTCCTATCAATCAGTTACCATCTACATTATTTTGGAAGTTGAGGACACTTGACTTCTTAAATCATATGGAGAGTTCTTTCTAATCCCTCTATTGAGCAGGTCTGTGTTATGGTTCTTTCCAGCGACAAATGTTTGAAAAGATTTTCGTGGTACAATCCAGTCAAATGTCATTCCACACAAAAGGGATATTCGGCTTTTGTTTTCAAATAAAATGCACCGTGTACATTTTTATCCACGTGGTAACCCATTCTGTTGCAGCCAGTACGACACGATCTACATCCTCCATAATAGTAGTCCCAATAGCCTAAACAGGGAAAAGCCTTGAATTCACAAGAGGAATTGATGGACTCAATAAAGTAATCAATCACTCTCATATGGCTACACATCACCCTCCTCAAAGCGTTGCATCCCGGTTGTCTTTTACCTCCGTTGGGATAAAAATCGACGTGTCCATTAGGACTGCTGATCCCAAGTCCTGGAAGAAGAGAGGTTTATATTCATTCATACAAAGAAAAGAGAGAATTTGATAATAACTTTCAAATTCACTTGTTTACCCAAATCCGAAAAAGATGCCGCATCTGTGTGAATGACATCAACAAAACTGGCATCTGAGACATCCAATTTCACTTTGATGTCAAATCCTTGAAAATGTAATCCAGCTGGGTCTAAACCTAAAGTTCACAGCAATGCTACTTAGTAAAAATTAAAATCATCTATGAAAAAAATATAATAAAATATATGATAAAAATGGTATTTGACTCAAAACTTGTTTTGGCAATCGTTATTAAGCACTACCAACCTGTTATTCTGCCAACACTACCAATGTTGATTTTTGAACGTGTCCAATCACCAGCGTAACCCATAATATGGGCCCCAAGACTTTGACCAATCAAATGAACTCGGCTAAGCTGTATTCCAGTTGTGTCCCACAAGGCCTTTAGCATGTTTCCAATAGTAGCTCCAACCACACGAGTGTTTGCGCTGGATTTCATGTAATTAAAGCCTGTTCCGTGGGACCAGTCGACAGGTATTATGTTAACATCATCCTAAAAGTGTCAGTCAACAAAATACAACATTCAATCTAAAATCAAGAAGGGACATTTTTTCTTAGGAAATTACAGATCAGGTAATTGGATGAAGAAGCACCGGCACATTTGAAGAAATTAAACTTTATTAAAAAGGGGAGAAATTGTGTATAATTTCATAGTAAATATATATATAATTCTAAAATAATGATTCGAAAATTTTGACGCCGAGTATTAACCCACCACTTCCAGAAGTGCATCTTTCATTTTTAGCGCCCATCCAGTTTTGGAAGTATCTGCAAAACCATGGGTGATAAAAATTGTTGACCGATGTGTATCAAAATTTGATCGGGAGATGGTATTTGAATCGTATGGGCTAAGAACCTGAGGGGATTCTCGGTTTTCTCGAGTGTACAACATAAAGGTTGTTTGAATCTTCTCAGGTGAGTCCGGTAAGACACCCATAACATTATTAAATGGAGCTGCATTGCTGAAACACCCGACATGAGAATAACAAACGATTCGACTTCTGAAAAACCAAAATCCTAGAAAACAGAAAAAGTTCTTAAATATTGCGATAGATATAGACAACACTATTCAATTTATTATGAATCATGCACAAAGTTATATATGAAAAAATCAGAGATAGTTAATTTCTCTTACAAAACAATATTGAATTGAAAATAAAATCATCAGTTACATTTTTGAGGCATCCATTTAATACTGAAATGAAATTTAACTGTGTCAATTTTAGATACAGTATTAAAGGACAGTAGTGTAATTAGAGTTACCTTCGGCCGTTAAAACCAGGAAGAGTAAAGGTAAGAATTTTAACAACATGGCTGACTTTTGAACAGCTTCATTTAGCTTCAACTAAAATGAATTAAAAGTAACCAAAGGAATGTGAAGTGAATTTTTCATATATGGCTAGTAAGCTAATTACAGTTATTAGTATTAATTTTAATTTCATATAACACTTTTGACACCCTCCATCCATTGTGTATCATAAGGTAATGTTTCAAACCTTCGACTCTGTTCGACTCTAACAGTAAGTGACATGCACTAAAACAAGTCAACATGCATGTACATGCATGTGTATCTAGATTCTACATTTTTTTATCTGGAAAGTTTGGATAAAATTTTAAGAATATGAATAAAATTAGCTTACAAATTTTTTTTAATCTACAAATATAGGATCATGTTCTAGGTTGAAATCATTCCAAATGTCAAAAATAAGGTTTTTAAAAGAATTGAAAAGAATAAAAAGAACGAAAAGGGACCTATCTTACCCAGTATGGAAAAGACGTGCTACAGTTACCTGATTTCGTCCATATCCAAACGGACTTTGAGAATTATAATGATACTCATGTTTCAGTGTCCGGTAAAAACTATATCCGCTATAAATCGAAATAGTAAACAATTTGAAGCTTTAAATATAGATGTTGAAAGCCACAAAGATCTACATCTTATCGTCGTAAACCAAGATTATATATGTAGAATGTTAAATAGCTTTTCTTTTCTTAGTCTTTTTGTTTAATTTCTAGGAGATAATGTAGTTCAAGTCTTGGTCCTCTGAATAATATACAATGTACTTTCAATGCCAATGTAGATAATTCAAACATTCGTGCTATTCTTAAATATACATGTAATATTACCTAAATTTAAAAACCCGTAATTCTGAATTGTAATATTCCCTTAATTAATAATTCTAAATAGAACAAATGCAATGTTTAATTAATTTAGAGTTTATGATAAGAATAAGTTTATTACGTTTATAAAAAGGTACAGCCAAAGAATTGAAAAAGAAGCATCTTGAGAGAAGAAAACAGCAATATTTCAAGAATTTAGGATTGTATTTTATGGTTAATGTACACATATTTGTTGATGTATGTGCATAAAAGGATATTCCTATTTTAAATATATATTTAGATTTTACCTTTTTCTTCTTTAGTTTATCCACTTCGAGGCAGAAAATAAATCGGTAATATGTTTTATAAGTTAATATACAAAAGTAACATTTTTTCAAATAAATTTTGCTGAATTTTCCATTTGAAATTCACAAGCATTATGACAAATGTTATTTGACGTTTTTCATTTTAAAATATTCAGGAAACAAAACCAAAAATGTTTTTACCCACTTTTAAGCATTAAATGATTCGGCCGATGGGCGGAATTCTTAAAAGTTTATTACAGATAACATCGTGCAATGCAGTAAACTAAGAGAGTTAAGTGTAAAGGTAGCCTTTTCTCTTATTTTGTCTTTTCACATATGAATAAATGAATATTTCAAAGATATACGACTAGATAGGTCATTTATGCTTAATGACATCCCTCTAAAACATTAGAATGGAGTGGGAAAGAACAAGGAGAAAAAGCTTCTTTAGTGAATCAGGGGATACTGTTGACGAGGACAGTCCTTCACAAAAGTCCTTCACTAATAATGATTCACTTTTCGCAAGGTCTGCATGTACAACACAAACTCTCAAGAGATAAACTGAAAACTTTTGAAATGTAAAATTTGTAAAGATCTTGGTCACATACCTCTTCAGGGTTACAATTATTGCGACACAGAAAGACAGACACCTCGAAAGGTTCTTCAGTAAATGGTAGATTGGTTAGAAATAATAGAGAAAAAAAATCCTGGAAATATGTTTTAATTGCATTAAAGATAATTAATGTATTATTGAAGAAGAGAGAAGAGCTGCAGTTGATCTTTTTTGCAAGAACTGTGCCTAAGATGAGCCCAGAATTTTCAGGAAAAAGAACAAAATGAAGAAAAAAAAAACATGATTCATTCATTTTGTTTCATATTTTTTAATTAATAAACATGTTAAAGATGATAAATATCATCGATTGCTGTGAAGTATAATTAGAGAGGTGAAAACCTCTGAACATATAAAAACAAACAATGAGGTAGGCATGAAAAATATCTGTTTGTGACATTAAAATGAAACTTGATATGAACCATGAAATATCTCTATGGCTCATATCTCCTCTTCATATTCTTCGTATTCTTCATCGTCATCATCGTCGTCATCATTAAACTCGATATCAGTGTCAGGGTCATTAGGATCATCCTCATAATCCTCTACTGCCTGAAGGTCAAGGTCGACTTCCAGAACTGTTAATTAAAGCATTTTACCTTTATTTATTTAATTATACCATGTACATGTACTAGAATCCAAAATTTCAAAAAAGCTCTCTTGAACATTTAATAATCCATTGTATTTATCGTACCCTTTCCACCAAATTTCTTGGGAAGTTTGGACAAGTCTACAATTTCCTCTACCCCATGTAACTTCCAGTGAATAATACGGGAGGGGTTAATTTCTGTTGTCACGAATGTTAACCCGTCCTTACACAGCCTTAATTTTCCAAACTTAAATAAAATATGATTTTGATGAGACATTCTGAGCACAAATAATTTATAATTTGTCATTAATAAAAAAAATATTTATAACATTGTTCCTAAATTAATCTTAGTCAAAAAAAAAAAGAGTTTGTTTTATAGGTTAGCTTAAATACTGACTGCACTGTCTAACTTAAACGAAGCTACGCATTCCAAACTTTCAGTTGACCAGAGTTTAATGGCATTTTCCTCCTCCCAGCAGCCATAAGATACAAACAAAGGACCATCAGTGATTGAAAACATCTCAATGTTTGACTCGTGTCCTGTGAGTCTCTTCATCAAGGTACCTATTTTAAATATACATGTACAAATTAATACACTTTGGAGAAAATACCTTCTGCCCGTGATTTGTAAGTAAAATTGAAAAAAAAGTCTTTTCTAATTTTTAAAGAAAAATATTGATATATCACAATTATTTCCTCAAAACATCAAAGTACAAGTCAAAAGCATCTGTTTTAAATCTGACCAGAAGGCATTTTAATAGGAAGATTATCAACTGAAATATAGTTGTAAAACTTAAAAGTCTTGAAGAATTTAAGTACCTGTATTTATATCCCACACTCGCATGATGTAATCATCGTCTGATGTCAGAAACCACGTGTCAGTGATAAACATGACATCATCAACAGAAATTGATAACCCTCTTTGATTCTCTTTTAATACGTAATTGATCTGATATTCTTTATCGTGTAGTTCTGCAACTAGTTTTCCTTCAAATGTTGAAAAATGATAATTAAAGAACATTACAAGTTGAGAGGACCCCATCCTTCACCCTATTTCAATTGACATAAAATCTTGAAAAGTGATTACCACTCTTAGAGTTCCAAATATAACCCAAAATTTCTTCCGTAACTTCGTCGTGAATTGTAAAACTTTTTGCACCCGTTAAAACAATATTGTCACCGCATGGCGCCACTGCAACGATTTCTCCGAGTTCGTCCACCTTAATGTCGGCAGCAGTGACCACTTTGGAAGTCTTGTCTTTTATGTTGAAAACAATTATGTTCTTGTAGTCCGTCAATGCGGCAACTTTCAAAGTTTTATTGTTGGTCTGTGTAAATAAAAAAAGAAATTATAGTAGATATCTAAATTAGCTGCACATTCAATGAAAAAAGACTTTTGATACTCACATATAGTTTTTCAATTCTTTCATTGGAAAGAGGGTTTTGAATTATACATTCTGTTTCCTCCTGGTTGATATCGTAGACTTTAAGGTGACTTGACCCTTTGGTCTGCACCACTATCTCTACAGAAAAAATTGTGATCTGTAAATCACACTTTAAAGCAAATACTCCAAGTATCATAAGCAATTTTTAAAGTAGGAAAATTTCAACAGGTAAAAATATTCCTTACTGTTATGATCAGATATAACATTGACTTGTGGTTCTTCGGATTTTGGGATTTTTCCTTGAAATGTATGCACCACCGTCATGGTATTCAAATTAACTATCTTTATCTTACTACTCCCCATATTCACCAGAACGTGCTCATCATCAATCAATTCGAACACACCCGGCGTTTCCATCTAAATAAAGTTACTATTTACGTTAATTACATATTTTAAAATAACAAGATACGAGTACAAAATTAAAAAAAAAATGAGTAACATGTAATCTGTTCCAGGCAAAGTAGGACTTCGCCCTTTATTTACAACTGTTATAAAAAAAAAATACTTGCAGAAATAAGAGTTTGTATAAAGGCTTACAATGTTTGCTTGTCGAACAATATTCCTGTCCACTAGATCATAAATTATCAGAGCAAAGTCATTCGTAGATTGACTCGTCTTTTTCATAAGCGCTGCTACGTAGCGACTATTTGGAAGGGTGATAATGTTCCTGAAAGACAATGTTAAACTTGTTTCTCGCAAGATGGCTTAAAATGCTCTTGAAGTAGTATTATGAAAAAAAATACTCATACAAACGATGTCATCAATTCAAAAAAAAATTCCGATTAACATGTACGGTATTGATTTTTAACATGTACATGTATTATAAAACTTCAATGTAAGCCCTACAATCAGATTTTCTATTAACTTCTTCATGTATGCTTAGGAAAGTGCCTACCAAACGTTTTGACCGACGTTAAATTTTTCTTTATGTCCTCTTTTCTCTGGACGAGTCATATCCCAGACATAGACAACTTTATCCTCTGTTATGGTGACCATTGTTCGGAAATCAACGGTCCGTGCGTCAGTAACGTAGCACGAGTGTTGTAATGTGTACTTCCGCTCTCCAGATTTCAGGTCCCATATCACGATATCTCTATTTGACACACAATACAAAGATTTTCCGTCTTTGGAAACATGATAATTTAAGGTATAATCATCACCACTGCCTGTAATTTTTCAGAAGATAAATCAGATGTTGAAAAAATCAATAACTGGCTAGTTTCTTTCAAAGTACACTGAAAAAAATTAATATTTTTTTCAAAAATTTACACATTAAGTTTCTTTCAAATAACTAAAACAAACTTGAATTACCTTTATGCACTTTGTTGTCCTTCAGAGTATTAATGTCTGCAATGTGAAGGTCATTTGTGAAGCAATCGCAATAACAAACTTGACGCTCATCTGCTGAAATAACCATTGCGTCCACTGTGTATGCGTCACCATTTGCGTTATCTGTAAACACTTGACGCGTACATATGAAAGCCTTCTTTTTCAGACTGAACACAGAAATGTATTGTTGAGTTGAATCCGTCACAACCATGTAATTGTAAGACCCTGTAAAATTAAGAGGGATCATAATTAATACTTTGAAATATTTTGCTACTTATATTTTGATTTGAGTCGGTTAATAAATTCAACCAAGTTTCATGCATGTACAAAATCATATCTTTATTTCATGGTCGTAAAAACGACAACAAGCATGCAAATTAAAAAGCCCAATGTTGAGCTAATTGGACCGCATTGTAAAGACATGTATTTCATTAGCATTAGATGTACCATATCTGCCTGTATGACTTGGGTTCCTCTTGAGATAAAACAGAAATTGATCGAGCTTGAGTCTATATTTATATAAAAACAGATGTGCTTTCTGTTAACATGCACTTCATGAATTGTACTTTTCTGTACAACTTGATCGCAAAGGTGAAGTGACTTATACCTTGTAAAAATATGTCGTGAGACAGGGTTTTTTCTCTTTTTTCAGTCTTCGTTTTCTTTTCAAACGTGTTTCGCATTTGTGATTTTAAAACAAATCCTGTTCCACTAGTGAAATAAATTCAAAATCCAACTAAAAACATTGAATATCTTCTAAATGTATAAATAACTTTGATTTTACGTGATCATTAAAATACATAACCTGACATCAAATACTATCTAGTAAAATGAGACTGTTTGCATTAAATAAAAAGTTGAACGATTAAAATACCGGTAGGGATTAACTATAAAATTCTATTAATCAATATTCATATTAGAATTCAAATTAATAAAACTATTTGATTTTAACTACAAAGAACTTTATTATTTTAACAAATTGTCTATAATGAAAATGTTGCTCTAAATTTTATAACCTTTATTGGAAAAAAGAAATGGTTTAGTCTTCTAAGGCGACGTGATTTGAAAATATTTTAAAGTTTAAAATAGTCAGATGTTGATATAGAGTGTTAATTAACAACACTAAGGAAAAAATGAAGAAAGGATTTTTCTTTTTCCGTAATAAATTCCAATTGTTCAACTACAATATACAAAGCTATTAATTTGTAAATAAAATTTGCGCAAACATATTGTTATTTCAGTTAAACATACATACATACTGTACATGTATTCGTATGTATGACATTACAAAAGCAATCAGTAGTGCTAAAACACCATCACTAAAAATAAAAGAATAATAAAAGCATGCAAAATCAACAATTTTCAGATTAATTTTGCAAGCTAAACTGTGCTTTTATAGTAAACTGCTTACCATGAGAATTATAACTAGGTCTAACGACGGCTGTAAAAGTATACCAAACTCTTGTTGAGGGCTATACATATGTATTGTAACATTTATTTACATTCCTCCCAAGATTGTTTTCCTTGTGTTGTGTCAAACAAATTTTGAAAGCAAAGATATTACAGTGTACTTTGCATACAGTAATCAATAGAATATATGATACGTACTTGTATATAATATCAACTATTTGTACATGGTTTAGCACATATTGATCATCCGAAAATGAGCAATTTGGATAAACAAGGATACATGATATACATAAATGTGCTATTTGCTGTTTAATATATAATCAATGCTATGCTTGTAAGAAGAAAAAAATTAATGTAAAATATAAATACAAGTTCTGATTTGCAGTACATGTAATTAAAATAATTTACTATTTGATTCTTGTTGCTTTAGTATCATGCATATTTGATACCTGTACGCTGACATTAACAGTAAAGTAATAGCTACGTGTGATTAAAATTCAGTTTTGCATTGTTATCTATGCCATGTGAAGCTTCATAATATTCATCAAAATCAATATAGTTATAATCATTACATCTGTGCTTACTAGCTACTTCCTTTTTTTTCAAACAATGGTAGTTTATTTCGCACTCAACCCGAATCTCTATAAAAAATTAGTGAGTAGATAAAATGTGTCGATTAAAATGTTATCCACAACTTACCCGTCGCAATTCCATCGACACCAAATTTTAGACCTGACATGTCGCTGTTAGAAACCTTGTGTTTTACTTCCCCGCTTTTTGCATCATATAATTCCACCATTTGCTCCTGGAACAGCCCTAACCACGTGTTTCCGGTGCCACCCACAACAAGTGTATGTTGTACAGAACGAGGCTGAATTGTGAACATTACTTCTCCTAACTCGTTGATTGTTTTTATGAGATTTATGTAGTTTATCATGATGAAGCTGTCATTGTTCACATAGTAAACTGAAAATGGGTGGTCTCCTAATCCATCATATGTACGAATTAGTTTCCCACGCGTAACATCCCAAGTTCGAATTTCGTCATCGCCAATTTCACAACCTACGAAAAAAAACAGAAATTTAGAATTCTTTTTAGGGAAGCTTTAATAATTATGAGAAGTAAATTAAAATCTGTTTGAAAAGCTTACAAGTGACCGCTGTTTTCCCGTCCTGTTTCAGGTCCAGCGACTTCAATGATGCTCTGTGACCCGCCATAGCACAGCGCATCTGTCCCCCGGGTTTTATTAGAACCTCTTGGTTGGGACGAATGTGTGGGTGAGTACAGCTTTTACATTGCGTGACGAAATCTTTTACAATCTGCACGAGAATCAAAAAAGAAATCCGATTAATGTTGTTGCTTTTTACGAAAGAACAAAGTAAAATACTGTTGTCTTTGATAACAAAACATCACCTTTTCATCAGCAAGTCGGTCTATCATCTGTGATGGAAACATGAGAGGGTCGTATATGACGTCATCTTCCGACAGTTGAAAAGCCTCTCCAAGTAATTCTAAATCCTTCTCTTTGGGAAAGGTATGCCTTGCATGATCAAAATCGTCTATTACTTCTCTGCAAGAATCAGAAACACGGTATAAATAAATTGAGTTATTTCGCGATTTAGTGACTTTGATTCAGTTTTCATAGGTACATTATTAATACTTTCAAGGTATATAGAAATAGATCTGTCTTTACAGGAAAACGCCATCACAAGCAAAGGAATATTAAACAGCTGTAAAAAATTTATACCTGCATGAAGTCGCCAAAAGCTTGTGCTGAAGAAACTCAAAATTGCAGAGACATTTTTCTTTCAGGGCTGCGACGTTCCCTGCATGGATCAGGTGGTACGGGAGGTTGTTCAGTTTCCGGAGATTGTAGGTTTCCCCATACATCAAAGGCTGAGACATCACATGGCGAATTTCTTCATTACTCTTCCCATCTTTGTCTTTGTATGGTTTCTTTTCTGTTTAAATTATTCATGACATGTTTCCTTATTAGAATATCAATTTTATAAATGTAACAAAACGATATTAGCATAGCGATTTTTACCACTGGCCCATTTTCCGTCGAAGAAATCTGCAAGTTGGCTGTGAAGGAATGCAAGATCCTTGGGTGGACAGTATCTATTTTCAGCAGCTTCCAGAAATTGTCTGTGATACCAGCTAGTTACAGTTACATTATCAGCCCCTCGCTCCACTGTTAACAAATGCATTTCAATTGCTTATAAATGAAGAGTTCATTCAAATAAACATTTTGAATTAATGGAGCCAAATTGAAAAAGATTGCGGGATCTTGAAAATTATCAAATATGAAGCCTAATGGATATTAAAATAGACGGCAGAAGATGGATAAAAATGAAAGACAAAATACGTAAACATGTATACAGATCTGGTGTCGGTGTGCCTTGAAATGAAAAGCTTGACGTTCTGATATAATAATTATATACATGTACCTAGATATTGCTGAAGATCTGTCCTCAGTCTTGCCATCATTAGAGGCGGCAGACGTCTAATAGGTGGTTTCCAGTACTGGTATACGTCATTCAGAACGTCATCGTCACATGACAAAATGTCTTCCAATTCAGATTCTGATAAACCATTCCTAGCTACAATAATATCAATATTTCAATATAATCGTCTTCACAAATACTGCACAGAACTATAGTTCGGGGATGAATCTCTTACCTGCAGTAAGATAACCCATGGATCTTGACATCATCAGAAGTCCATGAGACTTCTCAAGACGTTGGAAGAGAGCATTTATGCTTTCTCGAATTGTCTTTTCCAGAACAGTTTCCGACTCCGAGGAAAAGGAATTCCAGCGACAAGCTTCGTCCAAAGACATCTTTAGATACAACGGTAATGGACACTTTTCAAACGCCTTCAATAGTATCTCTCTTTGTCTTTTAGTGATACAACGATCTTTGTTTTTTAACCAGTGGTCTACAATTCCACTAGCGTCATTTGTTGGCAGCTTTGGTATGGAAAATAAGTTTTCCGGAGGAAGGAAGCCCTACAAAAAATTTCATGAAAATGTAAACTACGCCAATTTTTTTCCAGGCAGAGGTTTTCATGTAGATGAAATTTATTTCACCTGAAGATTTGGGAAGCATTCATAAATGTCCTCTTCCAAAGTAGAGACAATAAATTTAACGTGAGGGGGAAGTTCCTGAGGAAGCCAGGAGAGATTCCTAGCATTGTTAGCGGGGTCCAACTGGTCTAAGGAGTCAATCATCACAACCAGAGGGAGTTCTGCACTTGCGTAATGTAGCACGTGATCAAACTGTTCAACTAGTTCTCTCAGCTCCTAGAGAATGAAAAGATTCAAATATTCATGTAAAGAAAAAGAAAAAATGCAAAGTTTGGAGGGGGGAATTAGGAGACCATTATACCTCTGATACTTTCAGATCCTCTTGGTATATTAATGTGATCTGTCTTGTTAGACTCTCCAAAAGAGCGCTGACGTTAGAACTTCCAGGGGTTGTTCCAACAAACCTATTTTTAGAAAAGAAAAAAAAATTAATATTGAATTGGACCATTATACAGAGCAAACCGGAATATTCTGTGAGTCAACCGTTAAAAACATGCACCTAAAAGCGACAGCCACTGTCTTATTAGTTGTTTTTCGCAGAGAATTTGCCGAGATTTCGACAGCTTTTGCCATGAGAGTTGTCTTTCCACTACCAGAAGATCCGTGAATGGCCAGAATTTTCGAGCTCTTGTCTTTCAGGTATTCCTTTATTTTCTGTAAAAGATACATTCACATAAAATATTCAGATAAAATGTGTAATCATTTCATTATTGTTTGTCAGTAAATTCAAAATTCTTAACGGAAAAATTGAGTTTTAAATTTAAACTTTAAATTCATTGTATTAGAAACATTATTCTGCATGTACGGTATATGCACAGATATAGGTAATATATAGCCATGGTTACGCTCTTTTAGGTCTGATAGAGATGAGATCTTTAAATCAAACAGGGGTTATAAAACCATTTTTATATATTGCATTTATGGAGAACAGTTTTAATGGAAATTCATTTAATTCACATTTTAATGCATTGCTTCATTGAACAGGATCTGATGTCCCATTTCGAAATGAGGCATGTTAAAAGATGCAAAACATTTGTATAAATGTTTGAAAATACTGGCCTTTTTTTTATTCTCTCTAAATATTGATCAATTATTTTATTTTACTCAGACCGAATTTTACAAAATGTTTATGATTTTTTTTAAAATTAGGTTAAAAAAAAATAAAAGCAGAAGTTATAAAAGCAAAGAGTGCTAACATTTTAGAAAATATATATACACAATGACTTGTTGTATTTATACACATTTACATAACCAGGCACATATTTGAACGCCCCCGGTGTTTTAGTTTATAGATATTAAAATATGCATTTTAATTTTTTTTTCAAACAAGACAATACATGTATTATAGTGGGATGTACCTCCTGTGCTTTCTCTCTGCCGTGGAAGTTCTCCAGCTTGGTTTTACAGAAGCTTGTGTGATTGATGATCTCTTGGATTAAAGAGTCTGCTTTCTCCGACTTTCTTCGCTCCTCAATCGCTTCTTGAATCATGGAGCACATTCGTGTCGTAAAATCCGAAGTCATTTTTATCAAATATTCCTTGTGATCAAGATGGCTTGAGTTGATTCCTGTAGATTATTTGAAATATATTATCATATTTCCGTTTTAAGTTTTGCGGTTATGTTCTATTTTAGCATATATCTAATAATTGATGTTCAGTTGTCAAAAGATATAAAAGACGACATTTAAACACTAGATTTTTTTTATTTAGCCAATTTATAAAACATAGAATATTGAAGGACAACATGAAAATGAGTTTCAACACAAAAAAAGAAAATAAAATTGTTTCAGAATATGTAAAATAATGGAGGACCACAACAAAATAGGCATAATTAAACACAAAGAAGAAAAAATATTTGTTTTAGAACATTTAGAATGCATAAAAATATTGGAAGACAACATTAAAATCGACTAATAATTTCTTTGATCAACAGGAATGTGTCCATGTACCACTTACCTAAACCAAGCACTCGTGTGACTATGATTATTGAAAGTGAAAGTAGAGAAAGGCGCGTACGACAAAGTTGAAATTGGTTTATTGGACAGTTACCCACAGATAAGGTCAGTTAGCAAGTGCCTGTTGTGAAAATGAAACTCTCAGTGTATAACTCCATAATAGAAATTATGCACACACATAACACAAGGGATTGCTTACCGTTGATCGTAGAAAAATTCCCAGAATTTTCCTTATCTACGATTGGAAGTATATACGCTCAAGATTTTCAAAAGAAAATGAGAAAAACACATCATATTCATTATAATCCAGCAAGAATGGAGCTATATTATGAACACTATCTGAGGGGGATAAACAACAAAGAACGACATGTGTTGTTTAAGTTAGCTGATGAGGTGGAGTTGTCACCTGCTTTGTTAGCAAGAATGATACTCGAACGGCATTTGTCATCAACCAAGTACGAAGGAGATGCCCCACCAAAGAGTTATGTTACTAAATTAATGAAAGACACTTCACTCATAAAGGACCCATTGCTGGCTTCTGAAATCCATGAGTGTCTTGTCTGTGACGATCACTATGGACCACATGTTGACAATATCAAACAATCCATTGGAAATGAGTATGAGTTTAAACTTAACAGAATTTTGGATTCTTTGAATTTAGCATATATTGGTGAGGATCAAATGAGAACTAGAGGTTTTGATAAGACCCCTGATGTTAAATTAGAAGTTCCTTTCAGTGTAGATGGTCATGTGATTAACTGGATAGAGAGCAAAGCCTCCTTTGGTGATGAATACAGTCATAAGGGCTATCTCAAGGACCAGTTCTGGAGTTACTGGAATAGGTTTGGACCAGGAATGGTCATATATTGGTTTGGTTTTATTGATGAACTTGACACAGACAGAGAAAAAGGAATTATTTTGAGTGATAAATTTCCAGATAATATTGTCAGAATGAATCCCATAATGAAAAAATGATTATTGTGTGACTTGACGAATGTTTTCCTGAAAGGAGAGTCATTGCAAGTATTTTGACAAAGTAACATACAAGTGTCATTCTGAAAATGAAAGTAGACTATTTTTGTCATGATCACCTTATGCTGTTGAGGTATCAAATGAAATTGTAATCTGTCATTCACACAATTTATATAATTATGTATGTTGATGTATGGTCATTCATTGCATTTTTTAAAATGTTAATTTGAGATATTTTTTGAATACTTTGAATTTAATTGAAATCTTTATTGTTTATAGTATAATTATAAATGTTGAAAAGGGGATAATTTATTGCATGTTATCTAAGATTTCATTTGAGATATTTTTGTCACTTTGAGTTTAAAATATCTGTCGTACTTACTGTTGAAGTGGGGATAATAAACTTTTTCAAGACTAAAACTTGTAAGTTTGAATGTTAAAAACAAAAGCTTAATCAGATTAATTTCTTTGGGCCAATAAACGTTAAGAACAATAACCTTGTTTCCATTCCACTTCATACTGGTGTATATTTTTAGCAGGAAGGACTTGTGGAATTCTACTGTCACAGAGCTCCTTCAGTAAAGCTCTGTTTTTTCTCCATTTTTCCTCTGGACCTGTGCTGTCTGAAATTATGAATAAATAAACATAAATAACACTTGTATATATCAGACTTAATTAGACATGTTACTCAAAAATTCAATTATGCCATTATGGGTCAATTTTCTTGTTAAAAATTTTCACTACTACTGATCAATCGTAAATCTACCAATTTTTATGACCTCTCGCCACAGGCACTTGTTTTGGGATTAATTTTTTTTAACCCAAAGTTTAATAATAACAGAAATGCACGTGTCTATAGCATAATGAAAGGTTGTATACCTATGTAATGAGAAACAATGGTACTGGGCTCCAAATCTTCAATGCCTTTGATTCTTCTTCTAAACCAGAGACAGTGAGACTTTGGATCCTCAGCATCTAAAATCCCCATCTGTGTCTCCTTCTCTGTCACTTTAATGTACAATGTAAATACTATACAGTCTGATTAAAACTTATTAATGTGAAATATCGTTTAATGTATAGTTGTTGGTGTGTATTGTATTCTTAAAACAGTATACCCATGGTATTAGCCCCTTTTCGGCATTTTTAACTTTTCATACCACCATTGTTATGAATTTTAATTTTGTACTATTTGTTGCAATTTGCATTTGGCACTGCCATTATCTCATTTTGAAACTCTACCAAAAATATAAGAAAAGTATATTTTTTTGGGCACATATGTAACACCCCATTGTATATAGGAACTTTCTGGGTGCTGTTCTATACCTGATATAACGTATCTTCGCGCATCTTCCGGTCCCAGGACTTGATTAGCAGCCATTTCTAGGGCATCTTGCATGATGTCATTTTCAACCCAAAACTGGTTTGCAGCCTCTCTCTTCTTTTGGGAATCAGTTGACAAGAAATCAGGCAGAAATTTGCTGATTTGTGTAAGAGCATAGACCGGTGGCACGGCGTTCTCATCACGACGATACCATCTTCAAAAGAATATTTTCTTTTCATTATTTAAAGGGTCAATTTTCTTATTTTATTTATGGAAAGAATTATAAAAAGCGACAATTGTGAAACGAAATTCTTTAAGAATTGCTTCATACTTGAGTAAGACCTTTTTGGGATCGGGGTTGACAGCTTCGACCAACTTCTCGAACTCTGACGCCTCGATCACTCTAGGAAGATTTCTGTATCCATATCGATGTGAAAGAAGGGACTAAGAGAAAATAGACAATATGATAAGGAATGAAAATTATGGAAGCAAAGACAAAATGTCAAGTCATTTACCGTCTTGAAAAGTTCTAAGTAACCGTTTTTGTGTTTACAAACAATTAAAACAGCTAGGACAGCCATGTACAGTCAAGAAGTTTCTGACAGATCTAGAGTAGATAGACCATAACGTTTTGAACATTTTTATTCTGAGATAAAATATCCCTTATAATTCTTTAGTTTTTATCTTTTATTAATTGCTGTAAAATTCAAAAATTGTGTACATGTGAAAGTTAAAAAAAAAAGGTTGGCTTTTTTTGGGTTGTGCGCCTGACAGTTATTTAGTTTGGCATTTTTTGGAACCACGTCTGTGATTCTTGTTTTTGAGATTAACTTACAACAAAGTTGGGTCCTGTTGATAGTCTTTGGCATTGCTGGACTTCTCGGAGACACATCTCTGTGCCGTTGTGTTCGTCTACACTCTCATTTCGGACTCCCCAGCGCATGTCCACCACCTGGAACTCGTAACCCAGCTTCTGGCAGAAGAGTTTGATGGCGGGGTAGGCCTCGGTCATCCACATGTTTCTTTCATTCTCTGTGTCTGCGTAAAGATGTCATATTGAATTTATACAAGTATTTATCTACAAACGAAACAAGTTCCAATTTTCTTCAAAGCATTAAGCAAAACATTAAAGTTCACGGAATGTGCATTTTAAAAACTTGATGGCTTTAAAGTTGCTAATAAAAACATTAGAGAAAATGAAACCTCCCCGGGGTGGTAATTTAGAGATTTAATTATAAATTCTTAAAAAAAATTAGCAAACAAAGTTTCAGGTTTCCTATACTCTGATAAATGTATAGTATAGGATACATAAACCTGTTTAAATTAAACGAATCTTAGCTTCACTTCTCGCATGTAGGTGACTATAACACCAATCTGATTTCTCATATAATTAAGAAACACATGAACAACTGTTTGTAAAAAAAAAAAAAAAATATGTTTGATAACTTTGTGTCTAAATTGTTCATTATTCTTGCACGATTCTGTGAAATATAACGATGAAAACCCTTTTTTCTAAACTTGTAATGACTAACATATATCTTATAATTAAGATGAACTCGGGGTATAGAAATTAGTTCCCACTATTAAAACTTAAGAGTAGAGCATGTACTGTTTTCTCTACGCATATTTGAAACTGGTTTTAGTGTATTTTTTAAAGCATAGTATGTACATTTTATTGATTTAGTAAAACTTTTTTCAGTTACTTTTTAAGAGGGTAAATTACAAGTATACGACGTAAATCTATGATGACTAATAAATTATATTTTTTTTATATCTCTTACTAGAGAGTATAAAACTCTCGATCATAAAAATAGTTTCAGTAAAAAAGTTAAATAAATCAGATACAGTATGAAATACGAAATCAATAATTGAAACCATCCATTTTTTATGGCCATAATTTATAGTAAATTTACCTCAAGTTGACATTTGTTATACCTTTAGTTTGTCCAAAAGCAGTCTATCTCTCGTAACGTTTGATGATTAAAAAGACATGCTATTTATTATGTCTATTCCTCGACAAATAATTTTTTTGGTATTAAAAAAATAGCAAAAGATAAATGAGTACATACTTAGCTGACGAATTGAGTATAAGCAAGGTCCATTAAACCCCCAAGTAAATGTTAGATCAGAACATGAAATAAGTTAGAGTTGAACAATGGCACTATGTTATAAAACAGTGAAAACCTCATTAAATTTTATTCAATAGTAATGGTATTCGAGAAGTTGTGGATAAAAATAAGTACCTTGATATTTGTATAAAGAAGGGAAGTGTCAATGTTTTTCTGTGAAAACCCCCCAGAAATCTGTCTGATTGAAACTTAAAATGTAAGTGGTATAATGACACTATGTGAAAGTCTCATTAAATTTTATTCATGCATGATGCAGTGGTATAAAGGAGTTGCGGATAATAGGTGGATACCCCCAAGCATATTGACAGATATTGATCCTTATTTCACAACTTCGGTATTTTAGCTAGGTTAGAGGAAATTGTAAGACTTGTCGTTATAGCTTTTGTATGCTACTGTAATCATAGAACTGTTTAAGGTGCATGAAGATATATGTACTTATTCAGAAAGATAACATAACTGGACAGAAAAGCGTGATACCAACCCTTGAATGTACTGCTGGTGAATATACGAACAATTTTGGCCGTAGACGGGAGATCCACTGTTGTACTTCCCAGAAGAATGGCGTTCATACCAGATTTTAACGTTGATGATGTGATATGTTCCTTGGATATTGTTTTGGTCAGCTTCTTTCCTTTCAAGGCTTTGTCGTTGAGCACTGTCTTTTGCCTTGTTAGTCCCATTGTTTTCTCTCTTTTAAACCCACCCGTTTTTTGTCGTTGAAGTTTTGGCGTTCTTTCCTTTGATACCATTATTGTTTTTTCCCTCTGCATTTGCATCCTTTCTTTACTGGTCTTGGGTCGATCTTGTCTGTTGGGTAGCACTCCTTCGCCCCCATTCTCCGTTTTCTTTTTCGCCAATACACGTTCTGAATGCTGTACTGTTTCTGAATTTCCTTGGCTTTTAGATTGGGAGGCCGGTGTGGAAGCTGTTTTCTGTTGTACGACATTGTCATTTGAATCTCTGAAATACAAACAAACGGAATCAATCACACTGTTCATTCAGGGATAGAAAAGAATATTCATTCAGAAAATTCTATCAATAAAAAGAATTTTGTCATGTTGTACACATTACAATCTACAGACTGACCCCTTATCCGCAGGCTGTTTCTCTTTTCCTGCCGAGCTGCCCATGTTTACAGTTTTACATCACTGAACCAATTCCAATATGCCTCCACGTCCGTGAAATCCCAAATTCCTCGGATGACAACATAAACTAGACTTGCTTCATGCACGGTGGTTTGTATATATGTAATAATAGATATATCGATTGAAGAACCTAATAAAAGAAACACGAAGCTACCCGGCTTTTAAAAAAAAGCCGACGAAACGTTCGCACGCTGATGATCGTCAATCAAGTTGTCCGAAAATATTGGAATAATGTAAACATATTTAACACTCTGTCTTCAGGCATATGTATACATAAGTACCCTAAAATTAAGGTTTGACGTTCATTTGATTAACAAAGCAATCACTCACAGACACTTCTATCTCGTAAGCTAGAGTGATCAGTTGTCTTGGAACACCCAAACACAAGGTACACGTAAAGACATTTAAAACAGGTACGCGCGAACGGAATTGGTAAGTCTGTTTTTAATATCTGATGGAATAAACACAATATAGTCAACACTCAAATATTGACCAATTTCTGCATATGACGTCGGGTGGAACTTTAAACCTCCTTTTGTGTTATTAGATTGAGTTACCAGATTAACAAGCACGTGGACATTAACGAAACAGTTTGAGTGGTTCTGCCTAATTGAATCCATTCAGTTCTTGCAGTAATTTCATTTTTATATCTTTTCATTTTCAATGAATTTAAATTACTTGCCGACTGAATGATAATCATGAATCGAAGAATCATAATTAATCGATGAACTACTTCTTGCTTGCATATATGCCAACAGATCAGTGGCGCATGCATTGGTGGATCTCCAAAGGATAAACTGGGACGTGACGCTCTATCCTGTCCCTCGGATCTATCTCACACACAATCTCCCTTCCTCTTGCACACCCTCACACAGAAATTATGTAGGGGATATATCTCCGTTTTCTATATAAAATTACAGGAGGTATCATCGTCAATAATTGATGTCGACGAGTAGGCACATGTAATAAATCCAAAGTTGCAATTTTATTGCATCGATATATAATAGTACTCTGTCGGATCTCTTATATCTTCTAAGGTTTCCATAAATTCTATCTCTTTTGATAAATAAATTATCCCTCAATTTTCATCAAGACTGATTGAGAGGTCCTATAATTTTTCAGTCTTCTAATAATGGAGAGTTATTAGGGCCCCGCTCTGCTGTCGCGCTATACATAGTGATCAGTCTGTCCGTCAGTCCCTCGAGATCTCTTGTCCGGGACATATCTCTCTCCTTGGCCCAGTCTGGCACATTCTTCACCCACAGAGTGTCTTTCGTTAAAGTGACCATGAACTATGTTTCTTGGTCTAAGGTTAAGCACATGATAGCAGACTATGTATATTATCCGTAACAGATTCTTCCTAAATATACTTTGATTTTTGATCCTGTGACCTTGAAGTTTGACCTACTTTCAAAATGTCTTTCCTTACAACTTTTGATTGAGAAGGGATAGAGTTTTTATATTTGACATGTGCATTACCTGTGACAAGATCCTTACGAGAATGCCTTGCTTTTGGACCTCTGACCTTGACCTTCATGTTTGACCCATTTAAAAAAAAAATAATTTTGGTGATTACTTTTCAATAACACATGATAGGGCCTTTATATTTGACATAATATGCCTTAAATAATTGCATTCCATCAATTACGATGTAGAATACCAAAAGTGGGGGATCACAATTCTTTGAATTTGCTTCTCGAATTTAGAATCAACCTCTGATACCCTGTGTGTCCCGGTGTTTAGATCGTTTCCGTTGATTTGCGGAGTAAGGAGTTGATCCTTAAGTCATTGACTCGAATCCTACTGCAGAACGTGGAGTCCTGACCTTCGGGAAAAAACCTTTGAAACTAGATCCCGCGCCGTGGTAATTCTGGCATGAAAATTAAAATATTCCTCTGTGCTCAAACTGTTACTTCATGACAATTACATGGAATTTTAACTGCTACAGTGTAACATATCATCAAAGAAAAGTTGGAAAAAGAAATTTCTTCATTCTCAAATTTCTTAAAAGTGTGTGCACTTATATTGATTTATTATGTAAATAAAACCTCCTACGACAAGATTCTGAGGTTTAATTTTTGATTCCCTTCAACCCCATGCAGTGTAAAATGATTTTGTACGAAATATCCATTCTTTGATATTACATGTACACATGATTATCAACATAAAACTGTTCGAAAAAAAACTATCTTAGTTGGTGTTGATACCAGAAGGATTTAGATAATCCAAAGTGTCGAAATGGATGAAAAAACAAATTCCAAGGTTGATAAAGGGCAATAAGCATAGGGGGAAAAATCCTTGTTTCAAATTCAACGCGTAGGAATTTTTACCTGTTGTCACTGCCTTACAGCAGAACACTACGTCAACATTCCTTAAGGTCTTCAATTAGAGACCTGTATAACTTGAAAATGTTTACTTTCACTAATAAATTTAATATTTAAAAATCGGAATTGAAATTCAAAATCTTTAAACGTCCTACACATAGAGATAACAGAATAAATACTAGTATATAATAGTATCTAAATAGACTTAATATGAAAAATAACAATACCTATGGGTGAGAATATGAAATTGTTTATTAAATATTTTAATTGCACATTACAAAGTTTATATATATAAAAACGATATCATCTTGTTCTTTTTTCATTTTTTTTCTTAATTACTGTTAGGTTTAGAGACATTACACAAAAAAGTAGAAATCATATAAAAAGTTTTTTTTTTTGTTCTTCATCACTTAATACTATTTAACAGCAGACGTTTTGCATGTCTTTCAGTAGTTTAGATTCTGAAAAAAAAAGCTTTGGGTACATATTAATGAAAAATCAGCACAACATATACCTATAAGAACGCACAAAAACAAATACCTCTTTATACAATGGTAATCATTAACAATAACAGTTACTTAATAGCAGTGCTTCAAGGAATGTTAAGTCAGTCAAAAATCGAAGTCCAAGGTAAACTGTATATACTGGTACTAGCAATTGTAGTACAGAAAAGCATCAAAACTAGGACAGTTCATATTGTGTACATTTCCTGAGAGGTTAAGGCACAGTAAGAGCTTCGAAATATAAACTAAAGCCATTAACGGAAACGAAGTTTCTCTTATGTAATTTTTCATTTAAACTGAACATAAAGTGAGAAACCTTTGTAAACATCCGAATGAGGATTTTATTATTTCAGGATCGTATTCTGATGAAAAGCAATCATAATATCAGGGTATATTGAACTGAACTGTGGCCCTTACTGTTCCCTAGACCAAACTAAAATTTTGTCCTCTCGGTTAGCGATTACAGCTATAAATAGTAATTGTCTTTGGCAGTTCGAGCATGTGCTCCATGTGACAGCTCTAACTCTGAACGACATACAAAAATGTGAATAGACATGAAAATGGTAACAAGAATAAATATCTCACTATTTCAGCAGTACACAACTGGTTTTATTGATACAGTACTAATATCTTTAGTCATTTCAATTAAGTACATGCTTTGATGACCCCAAGCAATTAAAATTTTAACTTAACATGTACATAATCTGCTGTTTCACAATTCTATTTTATTGGCACTTTGAAATGAACCTTCTGATTCCTAGAATTTAAGACTAGAGAAGCATAATTCATCAAATTTTACATTTTTTTATGTGTTTTTTCTGTTTTTTTTTGTTATAATATAAGTAGCAATGAATTAGGATGAGAACAACACAGAAAGCACACATTTATACACAATAACGTGGAATGCAAGAGAGTGGGACCCATTGTCAACTAGATGTAGCTATGTCAAACAGCCATACACACCACTGTGAAGACCATTTCAAAGCAAAATCAAAAAGAGGCTTATTGTCCCATTAAAAATAATTACTAAAATACAAAATGTTAGGCAATACATACAAGAATAAGTCATGCTTTAAATAATTTGGGATTTGGCAGTTTGAGCTTTTCTACCCTAAAATGTCAGAAATTCTTTCATTAGCTATCTCCTTCAGTGACAACACCCCCCTTCATGATTTACTCCTGGAATGTGAAAGAAAAAAATCTTCACATAAGCCATCTATTTACAAAGGAAGATAGTTTGGGAAAGTCAATTTCATTTGCAGCACTTCGTAAACCTGCACAAAAACAAAAAGCAGCCATGCCCAGCACTTCACAAAAAACTAATAATTTTAGCCAAACAAAATAGTTTACATAAGGTCAAAAAAAAATTCTCTCATGTATGCCTGCCAACATATTTCTACAGAGCATTATAAAGAAAATTAACCAATAAACTGATGTACCATAAATGTTAATACTGTATATTTACTTTTTTTTCCTATTCCAGAGTATCAACTTTAGGTATAAAATTTCCTAGCTTATTTGCTGCCTTTTAATACAACAGCTATATTGATAAAATTCTGCATACAGATGCTCAAAAAAAGTATTGGAAATTGCATGCACTGATGTTAATCCAATCCTTCAATCCAATAAATGTTTTCTGTCTTTATAAAAAAAATTCTCTGTCATATATAGAACATCAAACTGTTAAAAAAATCAAATGAGAACTCTTATAGGTAAGTACTGACTATTGATACAATATCTGTGAATCCTATTATTACACTGGATTTCAAATTACGAAAAATGTAGTTAACAGATTTACAGAAATAAAAAAAACAAATACATTATTCTGAAATACTGAAAGATGAAAAAAATAAACAATCCTTTTTAGGGGGTTAAAAACATTAAAAGACAAACATTTGAACAATAACACAAAATAATATAAGAAGTTTTAGAACATCCGAAAGTTTGTATTTGTTGAGGAAGGGAAACAAAAAAATTAGAGACAAAATGAACCGTAAATTCGGACTGGTCAGGTACATAAAGAACATGTACAAATACATAAATTAAATGATAATGAGTATTGGTGATGACAATTTTATCGTTTTTATGGCAACATTCATTCAAAGATCACTGCCTATTTATTGCTTATGATTTGGCTATTCCTAAAAAAAAAAAAATCAGAGATATGGAGTTCTGGTGCATCTGTTTTATTTTCTTCATTTGTTTAATCCTTATCTGCGACTTCGTCCTCCATATTGCGTTTTTCAAGGGCAGACAACCGTTCCTCGCAGTCCTTGAGTTTCTTGTCTTGATCTTTGACGGTTTTCTTTAATTGTTTCACTTCATCCAACAAGGCTTGTATACTCACACCCTATCAAAGACAGCCAGAAATCAGGGGCAAGGTTTACAGTGTGCGTTTTAATTGTCAAATAATGGTTATGTTTTTAAAATTTACAGTAAAAAGAAAATTAAAAAGAAAAGTAAGAGAGAGTTAAAAGTTAAGGTCAAAATAAAATACTATGGATGAGTATACAAACAAACTCTAAGTTTAGAAACTTATTAACATAAATGTAAATCAAAACACTGAAATGAATGGAGGTAAATGGCAGAGTGTGCGCAAGGTATACAGTTAGGAATCCAGTATACTTTATTTTCCATTTAGCTGTAATTACCTGAAACTGACACCTTCATGCAAATAAAGCCTACCTCATACTATAGCTAGCAGCTCAGTTTTTCTGATTAAGTAAATTTGTGAGGAATAACCAATTCAAAGCAGATATGAAATGAAACACATTTAAATACTTCTGTATAATGATTTGTTGTTTCCCCCATTTTGAATTTTCAACCAATTTATTATCATCAGAAAGTTATACAGGTACTTTTATTCACAACCAATCACCAAAAGAATTATAAAAGTTTAAATATTCCATAAATTATTTCAAATTGCTATAAACATTTTGTGAATCTGTGCATATATGTATTGTATGTGCAGATCTACTTCTGTGAATATGATGTAACAGTGAAGAAATACAAATATAAACACTTAATAATTCACCTGAAAAAAATAATTGTTTAAAAAAATACACAGAGATATTTTCAACCAGAAATCACTGTTAGAAGCACTCAACAGTTACATGTATATTCATTACAGATAATTTCATAAAATTAAACAATATTTGGTTTTAGGATTCTTTCAAATATACAGACATTCCGTCACCATATAGGAAAAGAAGCACAGGTAGATTCATTTCATACATGTACTATGATGTAGCTTGCACACAGGGGGGGAGGGGGGGTATTTATACAATGCAAGGGAAGAATGCTTGTAACAGTAGGTGGTTGAGCACATCTCTGTAAATGTCTAGACGCTAATCTACCGCCACACCATTCCTTTTTAACCTGTATAATAACAAATTCCCACACCCTCTCTGCTGATTTATACAATGCCCATAAAAAGGGCACATCTACATGTACTACTAAATTTTGTTAAAACATGGACATGTACTACTAAATTTTGTTAAAACATATCCTACAAATTTTCTTAAAACATGTACCAATGATTTCAAGACATCTGTTGTTGAATATTGTTTTGTAAGAAATCCATTGTTGTGATATAACTAATTGAAACAATCACATATATTGGTTCAAATATTTTTTATAACATGCAGGAGGTTCAGCAGTGAGGGTGGGAGACAAAAGTTAGTAGGGGTGAAGCAGGTTTGTGAGAGCCACACTATGGACAGGGTGCCTCTACAACAGTGAACTAATGGAGAACAAAACAAACAAGCTATATACATCTTAGCACATCTCCCCTGCTCCTTCTTCATCCGTCGATGGCGCCTCGTATTGTGCCACTCGCTCCTCCAGAGTTTTTATACGTCGTTCGTGGGCTTTAACTATAAGTTTCAGTTTTCTAATATCTTCTAAAATTCCTTGTGGATCAAAGCCCTAAAGGGTGAAAAATGGGTGACAAATTCATACATACTTATTCAATAATTGGTTCTTGCTATAGTAACATGTATCATATATCAAAATGCATTTCTTAGTGTACGGTATGTGTACATAGGGTATGATAACTGAAGTAATATATGTACTTGTCTACATTCTAGGTTATCTAAAGATGATTAGATATGTCAAGGAGTAACTACTGATAACATTTGAAAAACTAAAGGTCACATTGTATACAGATTACAAACGATATGAGTGTATATGAGTCCAGCAAAATGCCCCTTTACTCTGCCAGGTCACAATTTTTGGACTTCCTGGTCTTCCAGAGTTGTAAATTGAGCAAAATTGTCCCAAGTTTGCAAAATAAATCATTTGTATTTATTTTCATTCTAATGTATATGAATATATCCATTGAGAGGTCTCCGTAAACCATATGGAAAATATAGTTATGAACGAAGAAGGGGCATAACTCTTCCACAGCTAGTGAGAAAGCCAAATTCTATTAGATTTCATTCAATCTTAAATGTACCATATATTATACAGGTAATGGTCTTAGGTATTCAAGAATCTTACAAACAAACAAGTATACATTTAATGTGTGTATATGCTGATTGGCATAAGTAATGTCATAAAATGAGAGAAAAAATAAATAGTATTAATTTTAATAATTAAAATAATAAAAATAATTTGTGGGATTTCATCTGTGAGGTTTGCTCAATATTCATTGAAAATAAAAGCAAGAAATAATGTGGGGATTGAATAATATTTACCATTATGGGTTTTGGTTTACCTGTATTCAAAGTCTCATGTATAATGTGCATTTCATAGGTAGTTAAAAATAAGTTTTAGTGTTTTATTTAGAAAATACCCCTCCTTCTCCTTCTTACATTACTTTGGAAATCTTAATTAAGAATTTTGTAGTCATTCCAATTCAGAACCAAATAACAATGCAATCAAATTGAAAATATTCATGCTGAAAACTAAATTCAGATTTAACTTAGGTGAAAATAAATAAAAATCTATTGGTAAGGAAATGTTATAGATAATCATGGTCACAAATATATGGTACATGAAATAAAGTGCCACACATTTTTAGCATTCTAAATTTATATGTCTTACTTATCTAAGTGGATAACAGTTAATATGAACTTAGGTTGTATTATTAATGAATATTTATCACACTATTTCCAAAATCAAATTTTAATGGCTATTTTATGATCCTGAAATTATTATACTGCAATGTGTCCACTTCTTCACAAATATTTAAGGTCTTTCCACACATATTAATTATAAAGGTACATATGTAAGGCAACTCTGACAAAATTTAGATTAACTTATTGAAAATTGGGTAAATTTTTGCTTCTACATGTAATGATAAACATTGAATAAAAGTGTACACTACACATGAGACTACATTTGAGACCTATTTACATATGTGTACATTGTACATGGAGTGCAAAGTTACTTATCATGTTGCAATGTTCTATCAATACTTACTCATTTTGATTTTTTATCTGATTAAATATACATGTATATCTGTGCAGTGGATCACTGGCTAGGATTGGGGGCTAAACTGATAAAGGGAAAAAAGGTTAATAGGACTAATAGGTAAAGGCCATTGTAATTTTACCTCTGTTTCTGACTTAGCTCCTGGTTTGGGGCCAATTGAGGGTTTTGAACTAGGAGAAGTTTCCTTTTCCTATGTAATAACACAGTGGTCAAATCCAACACATTATCTGATAATATGTGATATATATCATTCTACACATATGAATAATGACATTCTGAGCTTGGTATTAAATTACTTACAGGAGGTAGTTCTACTCCAGCCCCCGCTGCAGCAGGTGCCGCTTCAGAGGCGGGGCGGGCTGCAGGTGTGGAGGCCACCTTGGGCTGTGTGGGGGCCACATCGGCCGACCTCCGGGAGGGGGTGGCTGGCACTTTTTTATCCAAAATATTTGATTTGACAACAACTTTAGCAGGTTCCTTCATTTCTGATGCAAACATATCTTTCAAAGAAACCTGTAAAAATGATTAATGCGCTTTAATCTTTACATAATATACTGACACGCAAAAGAAACGCAACTAGCAGTAATTTACAAATGTTTGATTTTTTATCTTTTGATTATCAAAAATGAATAAAGTAAGGCTAAATTCACTTTTCAGAACATCAGAGATTTGATGAAAATGTTAAATATTTATCTGTTTACTTTACTAAGTAAAATATGACTGTTAAAACACCCCCCTCCCAGCCATTCAAGTTAAACGTGCAAGACTGCCCTAAACAACAATTGCAGCTTAATTTCTACGATACAATAGGTTCATTAATATCGAGATCTCAGCGAAGGAATTATTCTTTGATATTTTTAAATGCCCGTTTTCAGATAATTAGATCGAATTTTCTCTAACTTAGAGCAGTGTAGCCATCCTTGGACTTCCGGTTCAAGGACTGTCCTTAATGAATATGATACATAAGACCCTGTTGAGGCGTAATGTTGTGAATTTTTGCATCAGCAACTCTCCATCACCTTTACATTGAAATTTTCCAGCTAGAGCAATGGAAATGCACACATGAGCCATTTTCAAGTAGCCTTAGCATTGTTTCGGGAATCGAAAGTGGAGTTTATTTTTTGAAATATTGCTGCATTACTTATGATGAACAGTAAAAAACCCTTAAAACTCCATAATATTGCCAAATGTTTTTTTTTAACTTGCAATTTTTGATTTCTGTTAAGCAGACTAAAACTTGACTTCCGGTTATGGTATGGGAATCGTTCAACTGTTAATTAACTGATGTTTCCCAAATTGAAGATATTCATAATTTTAAGATACAAAATTCTTTACTTTACATAATTATTTTCCCCTAAAAAAGGGTGTTGCGTTTCTTTTGCGTGTCAGTATAATAATGCATAAAAATATTCATGAAATAACAAATGTTTTTGTTTAAAATTCATAAATCAAACCATTGAGAAATTTGGCCTTTGCAAAATAACTTCATCTAAAACAACTTTTCTTTCTTTCAGAATTTTGGCAGATTATTTATCAATTTTTAATACAATACCGAGAAAAATATAAATTCAATTCTCCCAACTTAGATTTTGAATGAAAGATCCTGATAGTTCTTTTTCAAACCACATGCTATATTTAAGTCTCCTACCAGTACTGGGTCTGCACTAGCACCTCTAAACCAGTCCTCTCCACTGATTGCTGGCTGATCACTAGCTGTGTCAGGGTAAATATCATCTTGGAAGAGCTCAGACTGAAAATAAAATCATTTCTCTGACCACCAAAAAGAAGTAATGTATAATTCAATTGGTAAGTTCTTTAAGGATTTTTTAAGTAATTCTTTCTAATTTTGAGAAATAAATCCAATGTCAATCAAGTAATTACTACTTGACAGATTATTGTAACATTTTGGTCAAGGAAATCAGAAATTTGTAGAACTTACTTTTCTTGGAACTGTGAATGGAATAACTTCTACTTGTCCAGTGTTCAGCAATTTGTAAATCCTATTCAAATATTATGGTTCCATTATTTATAGAAACTTTCATTACTATTACACACTGAAGAACGGTCCACTTTACCAAGAAAGATAATTCTAAACAAACAATGATTTTCCTTCATATTTGCCAAATATCTGCTCGAACTTCATTATAATCTCAATCATAAGCAAGAAAATCATCATAATCACAAACGAATTTCATTACAGTGAGCAGACAATCTGACTGTCTTTACACATTACTGAAAACAAACTTGTACCTCATGATTTCACAATTATTGATGTTTAGGCCTCTCTTACACATGACACCAAACCCTCGGGTGGGGTCCTTTGATTGGTATAGTGATAAGTAGTGGACGTAGGGGGCCTCGTCTGTGATTTCATAGTACCGGATAATACTGTCTCCCTGAAAGGATCATCATTTATGTAGTAATCTGTTATCTTGATGGGGGAATTGTAATGTATTGTCAACAAATGGAAAAATATGTGTTGCTGATTCTATAATTTGTTACTTATCAAAGGTGCATCAAATAACAACTTGTTCAGTATTTTTTAGACTTTTATAAATATCTTAATGTTGTATGTAAAGTACACATTTTGAAAAAAATATGGTGGGACATGTATAAATTAAAATTTCACTAAACATAAGAAAACTTGCATTTCAAACTTCAACTTTGTATCACAATGATTGGTATCCATGAACAACTGTTCAAAATATTTAAAATTATTGCATAATAATTAAAAAGAACATATCTATAAATAATTGTTTTGTCTGTCAGTTGTTGATAGTTTTTTTTAATTAAAATTGCCTTGTCTCATCAAAATGTTTTCCTTCCTTCAATCCAATATTTTGTGGTGAAAGGGAAAAATATATAGTTCCAATTTACATGTTAACCCTAACAGAATTTATAACCTGACACCCAAAATGATTAAACACTGTAGTATTATGTTTAAGGGGTATGTTACCTTGCCTATGAGGTAGATCATCTCTACATCACAGTCATACACTGGCATTAACACTCCATTGGCCTGGTCTATCTCATCCATGCTCTCTTGTTCCAGGGTTTTCTAAAAACCAATATACATAAGGTCATTTAGTTGTCAGAAAGATAATATGAAGTTCAGAGGCAGAATTTGAAAATTGTTGAGAGGAAAATACCTCTCTAAAATTTATAATAACTAGGAAACCATCAGCATTTACTATTTGAATGTGCTTTCGCTAAATTGAATCAGATTTATTTTTAGACCGTGCTGTAATTTAGATATAGAGTAGTTGGCAAATACAATACGGTATACAGGGCTAATACAGAACGAAAAGTAGCTCCACCCACCATAGTCCTGTTCTCTATTGCTAATACAGAACAGTAAACTTCAAAGTAAAACACCGCTATCGTGTCACAATTGTAATATAAAACTCAAATTCATAATTAACAAGCACTACATAAAAGAATTCCTAACCATTCTAAAATTAATTCATGAAATTCTTCATCAAACTCCTAGATAACGTGAAATGGAGCTAAATCAATATGAAATCGATATGATGCTTTTAGCAAATTGGGATCTTTCCTTCCTTCAATAAAAGAAGAGTTGCCTAGCTGTAGTCTTTTTTGAGGATACAAACCATGACATTTGACCTACCGCATCCCACAATGCATACTGTCTCTCACTCATCCTGGAGAATCCTGTGGTGAAGACTTTGTCATGCTTGAGGAACAGGGCTTGTGCTGGCTTAGATCCCTGATGGCAGGGCCCATTTGTTTCCTACGAAAAAAAAAGTCACTAATATTGAATATGATCATAGAGTTACATGTACATTTACATTTTTTAACCGAAACCTACCGGTTAACTTGATTTAATTCATTTTATAATTAGATATGAATTTTTGCAATATTCAAAGGTTCTGCAGCTAACTGTGACACACAGTTGTTGAATTGACTGGGAAAGACAAAGGGTTTTTGGAAATGGGAATTGGGCCTAAATCCCTGTCACACATACTTGAATCAGGAACTGCTTGTTTATTATATTACTTGTAAATAGGCTTTTTTTTTCTCTTGGACATAGTCCCATACCTTAATTACTTTTCCTGTGCGTGAATCCATGACTCTAAGAATCTTATCCTTACAGGTACAGACAAATTTATCTCCATTATAGCTAAAGCTGGCTGAATAGATTAGATCAGGAAGGTTTATTTCTACATAAAGTTCACCAGTTCCTACATTCCAAATACATATCTTTGAATCAGCACCTATATGAAGAAGAACAGAAAAAATACTTTAATTACTAATTATTCAAGATGCAAATACACATTATGAGTTATGATACATGTACTTAAGATACTTTAAAGAAAAATCCTAACATTTCCTAAACCACTGACTACATTTTATTTATATTCAAATTATTTTTTGTTTCCATATGTACAAAGAAGTGATGCAACTTCTTTGGGCAGCAAATTATGCATCTTCCCGTTCTTTCTTTTAAAAACAAATACTTTCTATTCCTGTATCACTTGATTTTGAAACTCATTTATTCTCGAGAGCTCAAATATAAATTACATCCTCTTGTTTATTCTGTTCCCTAACAGGCTTCAAAAATGCACTCTTACCTTGTTTTCTTAGAACATGCTGAAGTTTAAAATAAAACGATTGAGGTAATTTAAACATACCAGCACTCAGAAGAATGTTTTGAGCAGAGGGATGCCATTTTACAATGCAGGCTCGTTTGATGTGAGAGATGAGCTCAACAACGGGCTCCGTGAGGTTACGAGTGAGTCCACCCTCGGGGATCGCCCACACCTTGACTGTACAGTCCTCAGAACAGCTGGCTATGACATCATCATTGTGTGGACAAAACGCTATGTCCAGTACTGGGCCCTTATGTCCGTCCACTACTGGCTGGTTCATCTCCACACGGCCAGTCTAAAAATAGAAAAGGGCAATACAATTTGGTATGCACTCTTTGAGTCAATGGCCTTAAAAATGATAAATAAAGAAACTGCCTTCATTCTAGTGAACATCTATGGTCATATGCTGGGTATATAACAAGTATACCAATGCATGCTGGCAATCATAAAATTAGTCCTTTACAATCTTGCAGTAAATTTGAAATATAAAACTTTAAATCATGTTACTAAAGAAAAAGCAGTAACATAACTATTCTTTTTTGCATTCTTCCTTCATTTCTGCATTACATTATGCTAGTATTCGTTTTTAAAAATATTAAATTAATGTGTAGAATTGTGCCCCTCCCTCAATCCCCTTCAACTTTTCTTAAGAGATCCTTAACATGCTTAATGGAAAGAATTCATAAAGAAAATATAGACTTAAAAAAAATTTAATCATATTTGTAGGAGGTACAGTGTGTTAAAAAAGACAAACTTATAGAAGTATTTACAAAGAGTATATGGTACAGTGTTTGTGATGATCCAAGCCTCTTCTGATGACATGATTCTTTTTAATAGGATGTAAAATAATAATTTCTGTAGTGCATGTTTATTTTCTGTGTATTTTCTTGTAACATACAGTAAATCCATACACTGTGTAAATTTCCCACAATCTTTGGAGCTATGCTAAATATGCATGTCATATCTCTCAAGACAGCTAAAAATATCAGATTCCAATCTATAATAAAATTCCTTCGTCAAAAGCGATTACTGCACACAATGCTTAGTAAGTGATCAACATATGAACTAGTGTTTACTGGTATCATTATATCACTACAAATACATAACAATGCCCAGAGCCAAGCACTAATCATCTCTCGCTGTCAAAATGACTCATAAACAAGCCTCCCTCATTGGGTTCAGATGTGTGCGAGACTGACGAGATACTTGACAGCCTCGGGGAGGGGTAAAGTGACCAGGTTGTGACCTCCCCCTGGAAAAAGATCAAGCTTTCCTATTTTTCACTGGGTCCATTATGATGACAGCTGTATTTCTTTGTGCACTGTGTCCTCAACATTATTAATATAGAGATTTACTATACTAAATGTGCTAAAACATTACAGTGTTATCTGCCTGTAAATATGTACTATGTTTCATTGCAGACTTACAATATTCACTGCAACTTTGGGACAATGAACTATGAGAACTTAGATTCAGAACAAGTAAATATCTATATCTCTTACATTCTTCAACAGAACACATTCTTTAAATAAATGACCCCTTCACCTAACACATACTGGATTTGATCTCTTAGAGCTGTACACTTTTAATCAGGTTGACCTAAGTCAATCATGTCAATCAAACTATAATCTCTGGAAAACTTTCAAAAATGTGAAAAGTTTGATGAGATGTTTCAATACATTGATCTTAATTTAACAACATTTGCAACTCCTTGAGTATTATCAAGGTGAAATTTAAAACCTTTGTGGCAAAGGTGTGTGTTTGTTTTGTTTACATTTGAAGCCTCTTTATCACATACACTTCAAGCCTTATGTACATCATTATTTGTTCAAAGTGAACTTCAAACTAATATGCCAGCTAGGCCATATATGGTGATGATCAAAGAATTCAGCAGGTGGATCCAGAAGATGTAATTTTCTTTTCCTTTTAAAGGACCCAAACCTCAAGAAGGCATTTTTAAAAACACGCATTATAGAGCATAAAATGAATATCATAACATTCCATGACATTGCTCAATTTACTGTTAATACCTAGAGAACAATTATATCAAGTATGGTGCACTGCATGTAACTCAGATAATGTATGAGCTTCATGGAAGTGGTGATAAATCATATATATTAACTGTTCAATACAAATTACAATGAGAATGATCAAGGAAATAAATAACATAAAAAGGAAATTCTTATACAATTAAACTATTTACTTGGATTACGACAGCACATGTAAAGTAAGATTTTATCCTCATGCAATAGGAAGTTTTGAGTCTTTATTTCCTCATGAAAAAAAAATGTTTTTTGCAAATATATATTTTATAATTAAGTTATCATGCTGATACTGTCACTGTTTAGGCATAAAAAAATTCTTTCAAACTTTTTGACCAGAAATTGTAAATTGGCTACTTTCAACTATTATTACAACTTTTAAGGAGTTAAATACTTGATCACGAAAAAAGTTGTATATGCTGATAAAATTATGACAAATAAATTCTTTTTATGTCTAAGGTACGAGTCCATATCAAGTATGAAGAAAAAGATAGGGAAAGACGGACAGTGTAGAGAAAAACGTATAGGAATAATGCTTGTCTGCTGTTTTACAAAGTGAAATATAATTTAAACAATAAATTATATAAAATAATGTATACATGTACATGTTCATGTGATGGAGCAGCTGACAATCTGAATAGTGCTAATAGATAACATCCAATTTTTATCATTGTATCATCACTATGTGCAGTTTTCATTGGAGGACATCCCAAGTTCAAAACCACGAGTTTCAAATTCTGAGGTCAGTAAAATAGGTTAATTAAGGCCAGTAATATTGAAATTCATATAAATTGTGAACGGCCTCTCAACACAACACATTCAAATAATATAGAAAATGCATTTATCTTCATGTTTACTTAATTGGAAAGGCTTGAAAAAGTGCAATTGATATACATGTATATAGAAAAGACTGTGTTTAAGGAAAGTTGAACATCAACATGATCAGTTAAATTATTAAGTGTTAGATTGTGGGCGTGTTTGGAATGGTCAGGGGGTTGGGAGTTGGGGAGATCTAAGGGGCCTGTAGTCTTCAATGAGTTGCAGCTCCTACAGACCAGCAATGTAAAATATGTTGCGATATCAAATCATAATCAACATAAAATGTGCTTACTCATGTGTAAAACTAAATGGGGATATCACAGCTAATGAAATATTGACAACTTCCTGCTATTGCCTCTCCATATTTATCATACAAATAACACAGATAGTACGAAGGTCTCTCTCCCAAACACTGGTAAGTTTTCAACCGGAAGGTGAATCCATCTTTGGGGAAGTTGTGGCAGGAAAAGGCCGACAGAGTGACAAGCAGTAGTCATACATGTAATTCTGTGTCATCAGCCTAATCTGCGACCATTTACTTCATAATTCAACTCATTGTTTATGTCTTAACTCTCTGGTAGATAAAACAATAAGTTTTACATAGAGTGTGTTTTCTTTGCTCAATGCCTGATTACCTTTAAACACTTTGCTGGCATATAAAATCAAGCCTGATGCATTCGGACATGAAATTTCTGTCTATAGTATTTAGTGACTCTTGCTATTTGAAACCTACACCTCGGCTCTGCTTGGTGACAAAGCACAATTGTTATTATAACTATTAAAAATTAATGTGTATGGTACACACAAAAACTTGTTTATCTTATCGAAGAGTTAAATATATATACAGGTATTGTAACACAGGTGTGTCAACCCAATTTAATAATAGAGAATGATCCTCGTAATTACACCCCTATACAGAGTATCACATGGAAACTTAGCAATAATAATAAACCTGTGTATTCAAACAAGACCATTACCATTGCCTTAAATTACCGTAAACAATGGAGGGCTCATGTCATAAAAATGGAGAGAGATGAATTGCATCACCGAAATACTTCAATCCGTACATAAAAAAAGTATTTTTTTACTTGAAGGAATTCAGTACATATATATGCACACAACTATAAGCATTATGAACATAAGTGTGCATTGCACTTGTGTTGCACTTAAATTTGTTTTTTGATTTCCTTAATTATCTCATGAAATTTACTGCAATCAGCACAGCTTGAAATTTTCCCCCAAAATTCCTCTCCAAAAGACAGGAAACACATTAAGCATCATAAAAATTAGGCAGAGATTACAGGACTTGGGTTGGAAAGTACTTTTCTTCTAAAGATGCAACAAATGACATTTATGCCACTTTATGGTTTCAAAAACTGAATTTCTTATTGAGAGGATACTATTTTAGGACATGATATATATATAATAATGTATATATTCATTGCAACATGATTTAATTATATCCAAGTACTCCTTCAAAAAGCTTTGGTAGGTCACTTAAACTTATATTCAAACACAAAACAGTGTCACCTAAATAGGCTAAAATGGTACTGGAAACAGACAAATATGAATATAAGTAAATGAACAGGGGTATGACAAATGTATCAGCATTTGTTGGGTGTGTAATTATGTAATTACGTATCAAACCACATAATTAAAATGTCAAGGAGAATCATAATGTGAGATACTCATCCAGACATAGGAATATAGACCATTTCTGTTTAGATTTTAGAGAGAAAAATTCTTCTAAAGTCCCAGCCAGTTTTTCACCTGTTCTATCTTGATGCACTCAAGGTCTGGTAGAGAAGACATATAGTGTAAAGACAACCAAACAGAAAAGTCTGACAAGGAATCATCACTTGTACTACAATGTTTAAATTTACTTCTCATAAAATATTCTTGTACTTATACTACTTAAGTTCAAGAATAACAATAACACACCTGAACTATGCCTATGGCGAAGCAGTACATGCAATGCTTCAAATAAAAGTACTTTAATGTATATAATATCTCTAAAGGTTGATCCCTATTCCCTTTGTAAGACATAAAATGTGCATGTACGAGCCTTATACCAAAGAGTCAGCAGTGTAGCAACATCAAAATCTACCAAGATGTGTCTAACATCTATCTATACTGATTCTTAACTGGTTGTTGTGTGGTGTGTCAATACTTTGGAATTTTAATAAGATGTGTGATGATGAACCTACAGCTTTCATACTTACTGCATGCAGCCACATGGGGAAAGTGAATGATACAGAAGATAAATGTTCTTACCAAGTAGCATGTAATGACTTTACAAATGTACTTCTGTGATATGTTTACAATCTGATGATAGGATCATTGTATGCAATATTGTGAAGTGTGCATGAAGATTGGATTCCTGAAATTCTTTATAAATGTTGATCTTTGACCTCCATGGCCGACTCACCTGTTTTAGCGGCAGTACCATGAATGAGCCGCCACCAGCTGATTCTGTGATGATTGCGATGTATTTTGGATTAACTGAACAAAAAGGAGAATCCCAGCTATTTTTAGTGATTCGAATGTTGTCATACCCATCGTCTTTTTTCAAAGGTTTGCCAAACACGTGACGGAATTTACTCTTTCTCATAAACGCCATCTGAAAGGTGGAATAAAATCCGTATCAAAACACAATAGCAACGTCGGTTATCAAATAGGAAATGAACTTTTACATGGTACCGGCGTTTTGTTGCACGTTACGAACGCCGACATTGACTTAAGAAGTGAACAACTGCCGAAAAACACAAATAGATAATAGCTACAAAGAAATATGAAATCACCTTGTACAATCCTAGATGACAGCATACAATAATTCAGTTAAAAAACTAAATAAAAAGGGTGGGACAACAATTTTTTACGCCCTCCTCCTCGCTTCCTTCTTCTGACAGGAAGTTGAATCTGGCGCATGCGCATAATCATTACTAGCTACGATTCAAAGAAATATCCAAAAATGGTCATTAACAAGACAGGCTTGATTTAAAATGTCATGTCTTTGTATAAGTTTAAAACTATTAAGTTCCCTTTTTTATTACATGTACGTCGATAGTTTCCAAGGTTTCAAATCAATGCATAAAACTACCCAGGCTCGACTAAATTACAGTGTATCATAATAGCTTAATTCACATGATTCAACATTAAATTTGATATCATAATGCCAATATTTTTTCTCATTTAATTCCCTATTAGCCACAGTACAAATTATTTACACAAAGACATAATCAGACTGATAATGACATCTTTTTTCGAAGGAGGGGGGTGGGTGGGTGTTCCCTTCTGCACGCTGTTAGGTCTATTTACATGGGGGAATTTATTTGTTATTTTTTCAATAATTCTTCAAATTACAAGGAAAATGCTTATCTTTTTTGTGTATGTATGCGTGAGGGTTTGTGGGTGAACGGTTTGTAAAATATTTCCCCTAATATTTTTTGAATATGTTTTTATGACAAACTGGGTTGTGGGCAAGGATCAGCTATTTGTAAATAATAACGGCCGTCACAGTGAAAAAAATTGTGTCAATATTTTTACATTTTTTCTAATTAAATACATTTATATCTATACCTTCTTTCATTAATTTAATAAGAAAAGATAGTTGCATTTTTATTTTTTAAGAAAATCGCATCCAAATATAGGTGATCAAAAAGTGATGGGCGTTATGTTGACACATATAATGTGAATTTTTAAGTTATTTCGCGTCAAAGAGAACCAAAAAAAGACCATCGTATGCATGGACCTGACCACACTTTTACTTGGGACGAAGTAGACAAACTTCTATGACCTATCTGTAAAATTAATAAGGCACAATTAATCGTGACGGAGGTGACATCAATTTTTCCTACTATAGCATTTTCATCATTCGTTTTTCTGCACAGAAATCATGTTTACCGTGAGTTTTTTCTTCACTAAATGAGGAAATAACACTAGTTTTTCATTAAAAAGCAGAACAGGATACATTAGTTCTTTCTTGAAGAATGTTTTATCCTGTATAATAAACGGATGTTATATTTGACAAATTGACAATATAAAGTAAGGCAGTTACGGAGGTTATATTGACGACGCTTTTTAACGCATTTCGTAAGATTTTTTAAGAATACACACGACTTTAAATACATGCAATGAAGTTAATTTGTCAAATACAACTCCATTTAAACATTCTTTTAATACTAATTAAAACTACTGAAAGTATTTTCATGAATTTTAAGCGCTGTGACGGATGTTACATTATAGCATCCCTCACAGTTATTCGTGGAAGGGATATTTTAACTCTCTACAGCTTTGTAATTTTTATTTAGTAATTTTATTATTTGTTCTTCATTAATATACAACCAAAGTTTACTAATAAAATTTTATCTTTAACAAAATAATAAGAAAAAAATCTTGTATCAGCACAGATTTAAATTTTTACAATGGTCAAATAATAACAGGCAATCAGCCAAGAAAATCCTAAAAAGCTGGTAGCAAAGCATCTGAAAATAAAATAAATGAGTTATACCTCTGCTAATTACCTTAAAATATAACCAAATACTTCAAATTTCATTATAATATTATCATACTGCGTAAAGAAGTTATTATTTGACCAGAAAAAGTGTCAATATGTCATATCCGTTTTACAATTTCTTGTCAACATGTAACAGCCAAATATTGTTATGTTAATAATGTACGAAGACAGGAAAAAAATGCGACTTTAACAGATAAGTAATGGTAAATATTATATTTTCTTTCTATCTTATTGAAAAAAATATGTCCATAAAATTTCCTCGTAACGTAATCGAATCACTGTGCTTCAGCAGTTATGGTTTGACATTGTTATGTCAGTCAAAATTTAACTGCCGAACACCAAATGTCCTCTATGATCGTAATAGTTCTAGAAAAATACTTAAACTTTGTGTCAAACAATAACTATTATAGATTTTAACACATTGGAGAACATGGCTTGTCCATTTTATCAATAAATTTTATATGAATCGAATTCAGTAATTAGCGTGACGTCCGTTATCTAGTAAAAGTTATTGACCGACAATACAAACTCGCCCACTTTGCCTCTATTTTACGTATCACGGTCGCTTTTCATGACGTTTACTGCAAATGTGTGGTAAAACTAATAGAAAAACCGAACTGATTAGATATTCCGCATTGTAAAAGCCATTTTACGACCCAAATTACGGACGTTACGAATTTGACCGACACCTGTGCACCTTTGATAAATGTGCAAAAATTTATTATTTTAATCCTTTTACACAAACGTTATTGAAAAGAATCCGTTGAGTATGCATTAAAGTTAAAGCTAAATATAAAATATTTGTGTATTTTTAATACAATTACATTAATTTCAATGTTTAAAGTTAACCCATCATGTTGACCGACACTCGTAACGTCCGTTATTCAAATTCAAAGCTATTTTTCTCGGGATAATGATAAGCAAATAGTAATTATTTTTATCTAGAATTGTAAGGTAAACATCCATCTTTTAGAATAGTAGTATATAAATTAAAGTTAATTAAAGGGATTTTTAAAAATTACATTTTTGACACATAGGTTGGAAAATCTCTTATAAGCATGCGCAAAAATTGGACAATTTTATACAAATTTGGTAATAATAACTTTATTTCTTAAAATAGAAAGATTTATTTGTTTATTCTGTCTCTTTAATATTACAAAATCATAAATACAACTTTATGAATCATAAAAAAAATTATATTCTTGCTAATTTCAATTTCAAAAGTGACGGCCGTTATTATTTACAAATAGCTGATCCTTGCCCTTGTATTTTTTTTTTCAATCACCAAATTTCGTTTTATTTTATTGTTTTATATCATTAATCAATATTATACAAAAATTTTATTATTAAGATATAATTTGCATTTGATACATATTTCTTCTGAGTTTGATTGTGTTCCCAATGATAGTCCAAGAGAGATAACCTCTATTAAGCTCCAACTAAAGAATAAGATACTGAAGTCATTATTTTCATCAGTTTTCCCACTGTAAGTAAACAGCAATGGTTTCTGCTCACAAATTAGTCCTTTGTCTTTGAACATTTTCCTGCGGAAATTTTCCTGTTGAAAATGAAGAAAATCTCTCAATATGCACACCTGTATATGATATATTTTTCTCCAAGTCCAAAAAGCAATTTCTGTTAGTGTTTAGAGCTTCCTCCAACGACGCATCTTCCTTCTCTGATAATCTACCTTGGAAAGTAGTCATATAATATTATTAGCTGCACATTTTTCTTGTTTCTGTTCCAATAAAATACTTGAAATTTACACAGTTTTCATTCCCTGTTGAAATATACATGGGATAGAAATTCGGGCAAATATGTCAATCAGTGTATCGAATAACCAATAACGTTGTCTCGTCCGGCAAAGAGGTGGACCACTAAGATTATAGAATATTCAAGGCCAGCTTTAGAAAATTGTTTGGTTGCCCTCTCCCGAGTCCCGACTCGGTCTGAAAACATTGAGTCGGTAGGTACATGTAGGCGAGAATTTTCTTTTTCTATAAAAAATTGAATTTCATTTTTTTTTTAAATTTTATTTTCCAGAGTACCTAAAGAAAATAATTGCTTCTTGGAGGTTAAAAAAGTGCTTTGAGTCGGGCTAGTTGGGAGAGATCAACCAAACAATATTTAAAGATGGTCCGAGGTTAAAATTTTATTTAGATGTGGGTAAAACTCCAAGGGCACATAGGCGTCGGAACTGGGGGGGGGGGGGGGGGGGCGGGCTATATATATTTTGCCCCCCCCCCACTTTTTTTTGGGCAAAAATAGACATTATATAGGCATTGAAAATTGGGATTTACCTTTTTGTGTTGGTTTAGCCCCCCTCCCGAAATTTCGATTAGCCCCTCCACTTTCAATTTGCTTCCGAAGCCCATGGTCAAATTAAGGGCAAACGACACGTTCCATAAATATATGTTATGTATCTCTTGGTATTATATATAAAAATAATCATATTTGCCATTCTCTTGTGATAAAAAAGTTTTTAAATAATAAGTACACCAAAAATTGTGAATATGCCATTCATAAGATTACCCATATGGATTATATAAGAAATATCACCACCTGGTAACTTGTCCAAATACCTGGTAAGGTACCTTATTTTTTTGTGAGGAAAGATGTTTAAGTATCTATACTTCAATGACAAACTTATTGGAAAAATTATATATTTTTGAGGAACATGTCGTCTGACCTTAAAGTTACCCGGGGAACCCCTCAGTCAAATTAATACATGTACGATCTATTGTTAGCTTGTACTTGCTAACAAGGTCATTTTATTGATCACAAAATTAACGAAATATTGATATTCAACGAGATAATCGAAATCCTTGTGATATCAACCTACTTGTCAGTATCCTGTCTCGGTTTAATAAAATTATTGTACCCAGAGTATGCTCTTCAGCATCGAATAAGCAATTATTGAATAAGATAAGGAGACAAAAGCACCACGTGCACGTGATACTGAGTAATAGAATTTACATGTATACAATACCGATATGATATATGTATAAGGAATGTTAACGACGGAAAACCTGACATTGTCACATTTGTCATTTTTTAATTTCTTAATCGCTAAAATGATGGCGACATATCTCAATTTTGAGTTGCAGGTGATAGAAAGAATAATCTTCATCTTCATCTAATGAGGGAGTTTTTGAATAAATTCTACGTCATGGGAATTAAAAAGGAAGTAGAGGAGCAGGATTAGATTATTGGATGACCTGGTTGCAAAACACTACATGTATACGTAGATGATGTCAATGAGAAACTCAAGCATACCTTAAATATCAAAATCTGAGTACTTTTACTGAGTATGTATAATCCAAGTGCTTTTTAACAACGGTAAAGGCATTTTTAGACGATCTAATTAAAAAACCTATAGTTTTTTAATTTAATATCCCGAGGAATGGTGTTAAAGTGTAAATAAAAAAGTCATATACATTTTGATATTACTGACTTTTCAAAAATTGATTTTAAATTTTCTAAATAACATTTTTTCGAGTATTTCAGAATCCATATTTGATATCACCCCCCCCCCCCTTCAAAGAAGGGAGGGCATATTGCTTTGCTCTTGTCTGTCGGTCCACCAAGTTTCCGTTCATTTTCTTTGTAGCGGTTGCACAAACTGAAATGAAATTTTTTGTACAGATTTATCAAATAAATCTCTAGGTCGAGTGCTGTTTTGGGTATGATTGAGCCATTTTTTACACAGTTATGCCCCTTGGATTTAGAAAAAATTCCGGTTATTTGAGGGAGGGGAGCATAAGTGTTTTACAAACATCTCTTGTTCTGGGAGGAGTATAGATATTATAAGAATTTGAAAAGTAAAGCTGTCATTTTTTTCAGACACCACGGAGTCGGCCAAATTTGTTTCATGTTTGATTGTTTTACTGACTATATAGACGGTAAGGGTCAACTAGCAAGTAAAGTGCACGATAAACGAAATGATTTTAATTTAACTCTTCCATCGTCAGGGTAACTTTCCTTTTTATGTAGTAATATTCCGCTATCATCTATATATATTGTTTTCTTCAGCGGTGAATTCGAAATGGCTTCCTTTTTAAAGTAAAATTAAGATATCCTTTTCCCATTCAACGTTTACTACCCATCAAAATCAAAGACATTGTTAGAGTTGTGTTGTGATTTCAAATATGTCCTAAACTACAGTGAAAATCGGTACATTATCAGGCTTTATTATAGACTATGAACCTTTTTCAACAACAAACAATAAAGTAGATAAAAAATTCGACAAATACAACGAGTGACTTTGTTTGACAACATTATACAAGCACATATTGTTATTGCATAAGAGTTCATGTACAGTTTTGATTGAGTCCGCTTTGTATGATATCGTATATTACGATACATTATATCACAGATCGACTTAATGCTGGGTGAGTGTTATCTACGACTCCTGGAGGTACATCTTCCGTCTCTGTAACCTGAAAAAGTCACCAAAGATAACAGTATGTAATGAGCATATTAAATCTGCTTGGTGTTCAGCTTTTTTTATATCAAGGTGCGACGAAGCAAAGCTAAGTGACAAGTGAATTTTTAGGGGTTTAAAAAATGTAAATTACATGTAAAATAGATCAGTAAACAAATAATGAAAACAATAACTGGCGGATTTAGAGCCCCCCTTTTATGTCCAAAATGTACAAAAGATTTAATTAACTTTTTTTTTGGTGTGGTAGTGGACACCTACCCAGACCCCAAACTGACCCCTTTCTTTTTGAAAAGAATCCTAAATCCGCCACTGACAATGATTGCTAAGACATTTAAAACATTTATTTTGGATAAACAACTATCAATTATCTGGTAAATTCAAAGGGTAAAAATTTAAAAGATTCATAATTATGTTAGTAAACAGTCACGATTTAGAAATAGCAGAGTAGGATATATATAAAAAGACATTGAGAAAAGAAGCGTCCAAAATGTCCTCGATACAGAGATGTCGTTACAACCTACAACTTTTTAACAAAAGAATCTCAGTTAGAATAAATATACGATTAAAGCCTCAATTTGTGAAATTTATGCTGACTCTACTTTGTGCATTGTAGAATTCATTTTCTGCGTGATGAGGACAGATATCTTTGTATTCTATTAACACTGTACAACATTTAGACGTGTTCCCACAACATCTACAGCTATACCTGACGAACAGTTCTGGTGTGAAATAGTCCCTGTACAAGCAAGTTAAAATATAATAAAATCGACATTTTACTGACAGTTCAAGTATGACAAACTTCCAAAACTATGTTTTAAAAAAACGTATGTATTATCACCATTTGCTCCCCCTCTACTTCAACATACTTAATTTTTAAATTGTACGATAATGGTATCAATGTGTTAACTATCCATAAAAAACTAGTTTTGTCTTTCATCCAGCATTTTAATTTCATTCAGTTTGTTCCTTTGAGCATGTATTTGCATTCGAACAAAAATATTAAATATTCGTCTTTCGATTAATGCATTAATACATTCCCTTTTTTCTCTGTTTAGCGTCAATCTGACCATTTAATTATACAAATATTTATTTTTTTTATTATCATTTATTGATGAAAGGTAATTTAAGTTTACAATAGGGTGTAATTACACATTGGGGGATTAAGATAACTCTGAAATGAAGAAAATCACAGTTTTGGCGAAAAATTAGTCTTAAAATTCTGCCTCAAACAAAAATTTCATAAAACTTTCATATCCGGTAAGACAGTGTCATTCTTTACTAACAGAATGAGAACTCAGAATCATATGTATGATATTTTGAATGGCATATTACGATATCAAGTAAGTGTTTGAAGAAATATCATTCGAACACTACTGACTATATTTATACTTACGTGGTGAGTATTGGAACAGTTTTCGTACGCGCCGCAAATCGATCAGAATACACTGAGTAATATGGAAACTTATCCTGTCTATCCAGAATTTTAGATTGGTTAAATTTTCTAATCTGCTCATATTCTGCAGATGTCTTTGGGTTAATGTCTTGTAAAATCTGAGTTCTGTTCAGTGGTACCGAGGATCCAAACCATGTTACTGAGTCTGGAACAAAATTGAAGATATGCAAAATTAGAATTAAGAAATTCTCATAGGACAGCCGCAAAGCAAGATGAATTGATTTCATTGAGAAATATCTATTATTAAATACAGCTACTTTTCTTACTTGGATTTCGGAGGGCATAATATCCTTCTGCCGGTCGACCATACGACATGTTGATTTGTCCTGGCAAGTTTGTTGGTTGTCTTCGGTAGAGTTCGGTTGTCAAAAATCGATTAGGGTCCTCTGGTTTGTTAAAATGTTGAATCGTCCTGTTTCCTAAAATTTAATTAAGAGGTTAAGGATTATATGAAAGACTTGAAAATTAATAACATTAATGACTTTTAAAAAATATCATTAAGTCACCCGCGTTGCACACACTTGGTTAGAGCGTTTGCTACACTGTATGAATCCGCGAAGTAAGAAGTTGATTAAGTTGATTTTAGTCTTTGAGAAAAGTGTTGGTGTTTCCAAATGAGTGTAAAAATTCTCGAAAGCTACATTAAACATTACAACAAACAACATGAACAAACAAACAAAATATGAAAGAAGGTTATGTATTTTTAGACCTACCAACTTTATCTGGGCCCCATCTTTCAGAAGCACCGTGTCGACAAGTGTTATGGAGCTGGGGTGGATCTCGCTGCCATTGGGTGTCTATCCAACAGAAAGGTTCCTTCTGATTGTGTCCCCGGAACAGATGCTGGTTTGTGTTCGTGGCATACCTGTCTCTGTACCAGCCGGTCTCGGGGTAAGGCTTCTCAGTCTTCGTGAAAAAGAATGCACCGGGGTCCTATAGAAGAAATACAAGGCGAATGTCATTCAGGGCAATATCAATAAGTTATACAGGGCGATATCAATAAGTCACATGGGACAATATCAATCAGTCATATATACAGGGCAAAATCAAGAATAATATAATTATTTTTTTGAATCATTAGCATTTCATTATTGGGTAATAGCGTACGCGTTGACGTGCAACGCCGTCCAAGTTTGTATGAAACAATGATAAAAATTAAGTACCCTGGGAATATTGTTGATTTGTTTGTCTGTTAGAGTTGTGTATGGATCACGGGGTGTTCGAGGCTTCTTGGTTATCATGTCTATCCCCAGAGAAGCCATGGTGCCTGGCTGTCAAGAAAATAAACAAAAATTCGAGATTTTTAAAATAGCTGCTGAAATATTTATAACTTTATCATCCGACATGGAAAAGTATTATAAAGCCTACTGTTTCTCCACAAATTTTATTTAAAGTATAATCATATAACATTTATGAATTTATAATAAAGTTTTGGGAAAGACAATACGCATAATTTATGATGTACATACTGTATCTAATGTTAAGAAGAGCGAATTATGTAAGAAATTTGGATTTCCCCCCGGCCAACTGTACCACAGGCGCTTGACGTTTTTTACCTTTCTTTTCATAAATGAAAATATCCCCTATACTATAATAATATAGGGGATATTTTTATTTATTAAAAGAAAGGTTAAAAACGTCACGAGCCTGCGGTTTCTAAGCTTGTGAATCGTGCACGCAGTTATATCACCTGTGTATATAGCCACGTGAAATTAAATCATTTCTTTGCAGCAAGAGCCCTATATTGAAAAATGCCATTCTTCATTTATACATGTATTAGTAGTGCAAATATTTTATGATAAACCCCCCTTGAGGAGGTATCTTATGCAAATATATTTCAATTTATGTCTTTATGGACTTCCCTTTCCATATTTTTCCTTTTAAATCAGGAATCGACACACTCTTTTTCTAATTGTATATTCAAATATTCATCAAATGTTATCGATAAAAGGAACAAAGTTTGTCGATCCCTGATTTAAAATTAAAAAAATGAAAAGGGGGTGCTAATATAGTAGCATTCCAATTTAGTACCCACGGTGACCTGTGCTCGATCATTATAAATACCATTATATCATTTGCACCTTTGCATTACATATTACTATTATAAAATGCTATATCATATATACAGGAAAGGGAATTAAGTAAGAGATGTAGCTTTGCCAAAATAAGTGTAATTAATCAAACTTAAAATGGGCACTTCAAAGCACATATTAACGATTCTTTTGGAAGCATTGAAAGTTGTTCTACATATCTTGTAAGAGAGATGGTATCAAAATATTAATTTCTAATATTATGATATATCATAACAATTACATGTTTAAAGGTTTTTTAATGTCCAATATGTTTAGAATGTTTTGTACCGACAAACTTTTTTAAGCAAACAACTGACATATGTATAAATTGTTATTTATATAGAATCGTGCAGCCACGTTCACGCGCAGCAGGTGCTCTACCTTAAACATGACATGGAATTATACGTAGTTGTATAAAGTACTTCATCAAATAATGGCGTCTTTATTATATATTAATATACATAAATTATCGAGACATTTAACACAATTTTTCCTTACCTGTATCACCGATATCCGAGTGATTATTACCTTGCCTAGCAAATTGTTTACACCGGAAGTAGCTGGTTGCTACAACGATATTACAGCCTATCTTGGCAACCATCATCGGACGAAGAAGGTGGCAAAATTACGCAAATAAAAGAACTTTTGGAATAAATTTTAGCTATGTTTGTGAACAAAAATATGTTTCATTTAGGCTTGTACCATTTAAATTTAACTAAAGTTGATAACATTTTAATACCAATATTTATTATTTTAAGTTTAACTTGGATAAGCTACTTCAATATGCATAACTTTTTACAAATAACACATACAAAAGGGTGAAGGTATTGAAAAGAAGCAAATCTCATTTAGCTTAAAAGCTATTTTAATAATAGAAAAAAATTCCATTTACATGCAACACGAAATATTTATATCGGGCTCGGTATTACAATAGAATACAAACACGCATGCGTGTCAATCACTAACTGCAAAATCTCCGCGAAAATTCGGCTGGTTGAAGGTTGCCAGACGTTGTACTGATTTTGAGGTAAAATCTGTAATCAAAGTAGATAATGGGCTTTGATTAGTAAATGTTGTTCATTTTGGCACTGAAAGAGAACGTTTTTACCGATATTTTTCCAGCAGTATAACTTGAAAATGAACATTTAAAGATTTTTCAGTACAGCACCTCGGAGCTCGATTTATCTTCTGTGCACACCGCGTGCTCAATTTCCTTATTTTCAACTCAGAGTAAAACACTATTTAGATCCTTATTTAACATGTTATAGTTTAAGATTTATAGTTTATTTTGAAAGCTTTAAAACAGGCTGTGGTCCAAAGACTCTACAAACGACAGCGTAGGTATTGTATTATCAGATTATGAATAGGTACATTAGTACTTAGGTTAAACATACTTGAAGTAGCTTCTTCTAGCTTCTTTTACTTGTCTTTGAAAAAAAAAAGAATGAAATAAAAAGACAGTCTTTAAAACAGGCCAGATATGTTGTTTATCACCTGCACTTGCATGGCAAAATTATGGTGTTAATTTAAAAACTATGAGCATGATAAGGGTGATGAATTGAGGGGAAATGCATAAAAATAGCCACCCCAAAAAATCTTTCATCAAAGAATACATAAAAACAGGTTGTAACATTAGTACAGATTAAAAGGGCTGAAATGATATATAGATTGAGATATCAACTAGAGGTACTTTGAGCAATGAGCTCACTAAATGATACCCCCCACCTCCAGTGTGCGCGAAAAACTTTTTTCAGCACTATCCCAATCGGGCTAGTATTAATGAAGAACAATTACTAGCCCGAATCAGTTTTTGCTAGCCCACATACTTTACAACATGAATACATAACTAAGAACATTCAAGTGTATGCAGTAAGTACAAGTCATGGTCTTTTTCACCTCGTCGTATTGCAGCCAAGGTCGCCCCTCCTTCCACTTGTTTAGAAATTCTCTTGTCCTTTTTACTTCATATTTCTTTTTAACTTCTGTTACATTCTGTGGGCGCTTTGTTTCTTTATTGTCTCGCTTAAACCAGTCGAAATTCATATTGATAGACATAACGCAGCCATAACCGGAAGTAAATGCTAATGTGTATTTTATAAACCCAAACTGTACAGAGAAGACCGATTGCCGGAAGTTCTCGACACGCTTAAACAAAAGAAACCCACGCACATGTAAAAAGAAAGGAAACAATAAGAATTCTTATACTTATTTTATTACTTTTAAAGATTTATCAACAAATAAATGTAAAATGCATGCAACTTTTCACTAGACCGATCGGGCTAGTGCTGACCTACATTCTAGTAGCCCGATCGAATTTTTACTAGTGTTCAGGCATCGGGCTAGTCCTTTTGGCGCACACTGCACCTCCCATATGAATATAATGGCAGTGTCCATGTTTTGCTCTGAAAAATCCAAAATATATGTCAGCTCAAAAAGTAAAATAGGAGGTGCACAATGGCAATATGTAATGAAGATTCCGTGAAAGTTTCATTAAATTTCCTTCAGTGGTATGAGAGGAGTTGCGGATAAGAGATGGGTACCCCAAAGCGTAACAGATGGACGGACGGAAATACCGATTACTATATACCCTCCCACTTTTCAAGCGGGGGATATAATAATATGGATACCAAGTGAAGCTGTTACACTTGATGAAATATTGCCCCCCAAATCTGACTTTATAGTGTTTTTCTTATTTTTACTTAACTTTTTGGTTTAATTATCATATTTTAACACAAAGTAAATATGCTAAATATAAATTTGAAAAACACAATAAATCACAAATTGTGTAAAATAATTTGTTTTACAACAGAATGTACAACTTTGAGTAAATTATTCTTATTTGTGAAGATTTGTTTTGCTCATTTCAACACACACACACACAAAATACAAATATAGCATATAGCCTATTGTATATCATTTTGGGGCTCAAGTATCATCATCCATATTGATATAGAAAAAGTTTTATTGTCCCCCTACAGAATTGTAAGATTTTAAATTTAGCTTTGATCCTTGACTACTAGAAAATGAAACAATGGTTTTTGATGCAATATCAATCACTTAGGAAGAAACATTTTTTGGCCAAAATTGCTGCAAAAAATTTGGTACTTGCCATGTTGTGATGTTCCTGCATTCTGCCACAAAATGCAAAATAGCAGAAAGCTTTGTAAATAATAGCTACTTGGATCAGGTTTTAAGACCTAGAAAGCCATATTGAACAAGCGAAGTAGATAAAAACAGTCTTTTGACTATATATGTTTGAAATCACCTACATCTCTTATCCATTGTTCAATTTGCAATTTGTTGCATAATCTTATTATCAGGTACGTTCAGACCCTGCAAATTACATGTACATACAGCAATTTAACCAAGTGCCACTGGTGTAGATCAAATTGGTCAGTGGGTGTGACCTCAATAACATGGTATTAAATGGTCCTTGCAGATAATAAAAACAATTTATTATTGGCATGAATTTTTAAAAACTTCAAACATTTCACATAGCCATAGCATAAAGTGTGTATTTTTGTGCATTTATACTCTTGAGCATATAGCTTGATCTAAATTGGACTAATTTGAAGGACAAGGTATGTTTTAATTCTATATTCAATTTGTTTTCCAACATACTTTTTTAAATTGCTAAACTGGCAAATCTATACAAAAAATTAGGGGAGGGGGTTGTTAAGATTTATTATATGGATGTTGATCTTGAAATAATATAATTCAGACATTAAGGATACATTATCTTTATATATGTCAATGGTTTTTAAGTCTTACGTAAATTATCCAATGTGGAAGAGTGGCAGAGGTGTTGGGTTGTTGTTACAGAACTAAGTTAATTTCTTTTAATGATGTTTTTTTTTAGAATTCTTTTTTAAATATCTGTTTAGCAACATGTACACTATATAGGTGATGTAAAATAATTTGATCCATTTGGTAAATGATATGACCATTCTTCTGTTGTAGACAGCAGCTGCTGCTTGTCAATGTTTACTGGAGGGTAATGAAGAGATCAAATGGATGTAATGACATCAATGGAGGGGGAGACAACTCCGAGAGGGTGGCCATATTGGATGCGGGGGCCCAGTATGGCAAGGTGGGCTTCTGTACTGTATTGTAATATTTAGCTTCCTTTTTGTGCTTTTTAGATAAATACCTAAAGTCACAAAGGGGAAAAATGCAATTCACTTAACATGCTAAACAGTTTTATTTTCATTTGTATTAGAATCTCTGTAAAATTAGCCTCTTTACAGTTGCAAACAGACCAAAATTCAAAAAGTAGTACTAAGTCTAGCACTACATACTACCATCAAGTGTCATGTATCAAGTTATAGTGTAGCAAAGAGAAGGTCAAGTGATAATCAATACTGCATTGTAGTGATTTACTTTAGCTCGCATTATGAGAAAAGTAGGACCATTATCATTCTATTCCAGGTGATTGATAGAAGAGTTCGAGAACTCAACATAGAATCTGAAATTCTGCCATTAGATACTCCAGCATTCACACTGAAAGAGGGAGCTTACAAGTATGTACAACGAATGACTGTGGTTTTTTGATACACAAGTAATATTTTGAGAAATATCTTTGATTTTCATAGGAAATAAGAAAATTGAAGTGAATTATTCTGCAAAAATAATGAGATTTTGTTAATTGTCAATTTAAGATGTAGCAAATATGATGCTTGACTTTATTAAAACCCCTGCTTGAAAAGGGTTTCACAGAATCTTTATTACATATTGCTATTGTGCACCTCCTATTTTACTTTTTGATCCGACACATATTTTGGGTTTCCGACAGCAAAACATGAACACTGCCATTATATTCATATGGGAGGCGAGGAATATCATTTAGTTAGCTCATTGCTCACAGTTCCTCTAATTTGTTAATAGTTCCTATATTTGAAAAGACTTCTTTGCATAAAGTATACAAGGAAAGAAAGCCAAATTGCAAAAAACCATGTGTGTATTATAACAGAATTAATATCAGAGTTTAAATAAAGATTATGAGTACAAGGAACTGGTACAGTTAACATGGTACATACCCTACATTGTAGAGCCATTATCATATCAGGAGGACCAAACTCTGTCTATGCTGAGAATGCTCCAAGATATGACCCGGAAATATTTACCTGTGGACTTCCAGTTTTAGGGATTTGTTATGGAATGCAGGTACATTTTAAAACTTAACACTTACATGTCCTATTGACGAAATGGATAGTAATCGTTCTAGAAGACAACTGCTTGTGTACAAAATTTTGCGTGCATTTTTTATGAATGATTATACATAATTTTACAGCTTCTCTGTAAAGATGCACCACTGAAAGAGCATTTATGTTAAGAAATGTTTATTTTAAAATACTGAAATTTGTATGGAGGGATAGATACGCATCTATAATAAAAGCAACAATTTAATTTAAAAAGTCACAAATATTTCTTCACGGAATATATTGTGACCAATGCAGTATGATTTTAGCTGCATGGGCAAAAGTATCACTTGCTAGCTGATTTTGATAACCATGTAGATATATCTTGAAAAACAAAGATGTATTTTTTGTTAAACAATTAATTGTTGTTTTTTTTTGTGTCATATTGTTTTCAGATGCTTAATAAAGAATTTGGCGG